CTTTTCTTCTTCCATTTTTTTTGTACAGTAAATATTTTTGAAAATTAAAACCGATTGTGAAAAAAAATTTACAAAAATTAATTTATCGTTATTCTTTTTGGTTTTATCGATGCTAGAAAATAACAGTTTTAGATACAGTTTTAGTTTAGTTAAATTAATCGAGATAAGTTAACCTATATAATTTTGATGTGTAAATAAGCATAGAAGATATCATAACAAAATCAACGAGATTTGTTAAATATCGGAATTGAATTATTGTTCCTCTTCAATCATAATCATATGATCGTGCCAATTTGAGGGAATGTTAAGCAACACCGATTAGAGAAAAAAGAGCCAATTAAAAATAAAACATTTTTTGAAATTCAACCCTTATTATGGCTTACTCATTCTGCAAAAACGGTTGTTAGCTATTAAATAACAGTGAAGAATTAGTAATTCTTTTATCAAAATCATTGGTCTGTCAATTTCTCTTACCTCCTCGTTCTCCTTTAGGCAAAAGAAAAATTAAATACAATACCTTTTTGTCAACAACACTTCTAAATGACAGATTGATCATTTGGTAGGCAAATATTTCAGCTGTCAACATCTTATTTGATAATCAATTTTAATACATATCATTCCAGATAACTTGCAAAAAAATACGAGATCTATTCAAATCCATAAAATAGAGTTCAAAGAATGTTTTCCCTTTCTAATACAATTTTAATCAATAATTTATACCAAAAACATGGTATTAAATTTACATTTTATAATACTAATCACTCTAATTAATATTTTATATCGATTTTGAATGGATTTTTTTTTGCATAATATAAATATTTTATTTCGTAAATATTTGATATTTCATATTTCTCTTTTACACTCTCAATGAAGAGGTCAAATTGAATAAATAATTCACTTTGTACTTTTTATGGGTTTCATTTATATTTCTTATAAGGGAATTATAAAAGTATAAGAAATGGATGGAAAACATCTTCTTACCTATTCCTAATAGATTACGAGAATTCCTAGTCCTTGCTTGCCATATGGTAAAATTCAGGGCAAACCAATTCCAATAAGGTCATCAAAACGAAATTATTAAAGATTAGTGATAAAGATCATTTAAGGCTTCTTTCTCAATTATTTTTGAATACATAAAATCAAAAATTAAACCGATCGATTGTTATCTTTTATTTCATTGTTTTAGTAACATATAATAAGTGCTAATCATTATTACACGTGAAATACGTATTTAGATTATTTGTATTATTTAAATCTATTATTTGGCAATTATTTTGCATGCAATATAGCTATATATGATAGAATTTAAGGATTTATAATTTGATATGATAAAATTTGAGGATTTATAATTTATGTAACTGCGATCATTAGTTGTATTTTAGTGGAAAAACATTTCTAAAACAGACTATATATATATTAGTTTCAGTTCTTATATATTAATTAGGAGTTGTTTTTGAATTAAAAATTTCCCATCTAATTCTAAAGTAAATTTGGGATTTAATGCTTTTTAAAACAAAAACAAATTATGGGTGATAATTAGAAGGTATTAAAAAGCGAGATTTATTAATGGTAGATTATATGAAATAATTGATGAAAGATATGGCTTCTAAAAAAACACATCTCAACATTAATGAAGATCGCTTTAGCGACTCCAATCTTAGATTTCACTCATAATGAAAACATTACGCGAAAACATTGATGAAGAAATGAAAATATAAGCCTCGCTAACAACAAAAATTATGATAATCATTATCATGATTTCTAATCATGATATTGCTTTATTGTTTAAAAAAATAAGAAAAATAAAGTGAGAAAAAATTGGTTTACTTTTCAAATATCCATTGAAAACAAAACCTAATTTAACAAGTGCCGTATTTATTACATATTTTTCCTATACTAATAAAAATATCATTCATAACTATATCATCATCTATCATAACATTCAAATTATAAGGTTAAGAAGGTTAAGAAATACAAAGCTTTTTTAAATTCTATCAAATTTAAGGCAAACATTTTAAACTTAAATGAATTCATCTTCTTATTATTATTATTATCAAAAAGTCTTTCTAATTTATTTTATAATAATTTAATTTTTCAACGCAAAAATTAAAAGAGAAAAAAATCTCGGAAAAGTCAATTGGATAACTGAAATAGGTGTTAAGATAAGGGGATAACTGAAATAGGTGTTAAGATGAGGATAGAGGTAAATGAATATGAGAGGGAACTACGCATGATCGAAATTGGAGGGGAAGAAGAGGGGAGGGAAACGAAGTATATCTTGACAAAAGGGATAGAAAGAGGACCAGATTGATGAATACATCATTCAGCTATGTTGAAAAACTCGTTTTGACAATGATTCCCTTCTGCATACCGGCGCATACCCATCTATATACACACACACATACACATACACATACACACACACACACACACATACACATACACCTCAGCAACCATTTATACCTCTCTTGTTAAAATAGTTACATTTCGAAAATTTGACATGCTTTTTAAAGTTTCTCTTGTTGATTTCATTGAAGTTTTTTTTTCATTTCAATCTTTAAATTTAACCCGAATTTGATGATGGCGGAGATGACGACTATCCTTCTTCTCCTTCTTCTTCTTCTTAATCCTACCGATCTTCATCTTATTAATCTTCTTCCTTTTCCTTCACCTGTTCATTATTCTCAAACAATATTGAGTATAAGGAATGATGTATGAAATGAAAAAACAAAATAAACTATACGTTAATTGGCTTAATTATAAAAAAGAGCATTCATTAAAATTAATTATTGAAGTTTTTGTAATTCAATTAAAAAAAAACGAAAGATTAAAATTGACAACAAAAAAGGATTGAAATTTGATGATAAAATTGACAAATTCAAAGGGATAAAATGATGTATGACAAAATAATATTGTTCATTTAATTTAATTTTAAAACAAATAAATAATGCTTAATTTTCTAATTAAAATTTTTTCTTTCAAAATGAATTAAACTATTTAGCGTTCTTTTCTTTTAAAAGTCTTAATGAATTATTATCAAATTTTCTTAAATTGATTTCTTATTTATCTTTTTCTGTGAATGAAACGATTATTAATATAAAGCTTATATGTTCCATTTTTGCGCATCACATCCATCTTCTGAAGAAACCTTCAATTTCTCTCAACGATTTTTTTCCACAGAATTCAAAAGTACTTCTTTCCAGACTTCACAAAATTTTGATTTTAGTTATTTACAAATTTACATTGCTCATAATGAGTCTTTTATATAGAAAGAGGAAAAAAAACCAGACGGAGAGTGGTACAGTTTGTGTCGATGATAAGAGAAGAGCCAACAAATAGGTAAATGCATGGATGCAGGTGAATTGGATGCATTAGTGTTAAACTGTTTGAAGGTATTCAAAAACATCCGCTGCGGAGGTATGAACTTACGGGGTCAACAAGGGAGAAAGGAGAAGACTGTCTTCTTAATGGAGAGAGAGAGAGATGTTAGATGAAACTTCTTCCATTGATTGATGAAATGAACCAAATAGGGGAAGAATCAAAAAAGGTGTATCGGTGGTACTATTTCCCTACTTCATTTGTGGGTACTGTCGATAGAAGCTTAATAGATGGGATAGTAGTGGAAGAGAAGGAAGATGAAGACTGGTAAATTGTTTGGGTTGGTCTTTCACCTATACCATCGGTCAGATGACGTATTGTCAAGGTCGCTTGATAGAACTCTCCATTTCCACCACCATCACCACCACGACTGTTGCAATCAATACACTGTTCAATTATCAAAACACATTCCGAAATAATGAGCAATATTTAATAATTTCACATTTACATACCAGATGATAGTGCTATCCTACCCCGCATTTTTCAGTTTCAAAGCTGCAAAAGTGGTCCAGCGAAGTTCAATACGTCCACTATGATATTTGACATTTCAGTTGCTGATAAATAAGATGAATCATGAAAGTGTATTATAGCAGATTTGCATAAATTGTTTCGAAAAGAAGAAAAGCGTAGTATTTTTATGTTCAAATTTTGAAAAGAAAAATCATTTGAAGCAATTGTCAACAACACTGAATTCATAATTCAGAAACAAACTGGCTAAAATAAACTGATGAATCCTGTGCCTCATCAGATCAAATATTATTTGTCTCAAATCTAAGATCCTATCTTGATTGAATGAAGTATAGGATATAACGGTTTATCCTAGAATAATAGAAAAAATAAGATTAGATAAAAGGGAACAGTTCTCGAACATTGCTCAAAGCAACAAATCAAAACAGAACAGGAGAGATAAGAAAGAGAAATCAAAAAAGAACGACAACATCAGCAGATCTAATAATAATGCAGCATCTTGAACTTTTGAACATACAAAATGCTTAAAACATCCCCAAAAACTCTTTCGAAATCTATGGCACATAATAAATTAAAAAGAAATAACCAACTCCTGAATTTACGCAAAAACGATTCACTGAGAATAAATAACATGCAAATTGTGTTGAAAAAAACTTAAAAAAATATGAGCTTACAAACAGAGTGAATTCACAAATTCATAAAATGTTCACTTGGACACAATATATATTTATATTATTGTGAAACAAGAAAGAAATACAGTAACATCATAAACGGAGTTTCATCACGAAACAACTCTGTTTATGACACTGATACATAAAAAAGAAATTTGCTTACAAAACATACAAATATCCATAAATTTCTCAGAACTCTTGCCAGTCAAGATTTCTAGGCTTGTTTAGAAAAACCCCAAAAAAATATTATCTATAGAATTCAAGCTACATGCTTTTCTGCAACAGTACTATACTTATTAAATAAGTTTGTGAATATACCTCCTTAAAATGTTAAAAACAAAGACAAATATAGGGTAAAGCATAAAAAGTACAATGAAGTAAAGAAAATTGCAAAAGTGCTGATAACAAATTGACAACTTATTTCAATAATATTATATTTACAGGTTTCCAAAAGTCAGGTGATTCACAGGACGCTAAAGATCCTTATCGTGGCTGCCATCGCAAAAGTCGAGGTCGTAACAACAAACGTGGTTTTTTCACAACACCTGTTTTCCAGCAGTGTATGAGAAATCGCTGTGTGACATATAATACATGGTCGCCTTTCCAATAACGTGTCAACTTGAGATAGTGAAGTGTTTCTGAAGAATACTAATTAAGCTGATAAAGAAAGAAAAGATTAAATCACTTTTCCCTGAATAACCACAACTATCACACCACCATTTTGATGCGCCTCTTAATGCTGGCCAACGGACACTTAAACGACTTGAGCAAGGACTCCAAAAGCTAACAAGTTAAATATTAAGCTTGATATAATTAAAATTAAAAACTACCGACAACCTTTTTTCAGAACTTCAACAACTCACCAATAATGTCACTCACATGAATAGCTGTTCTTCGGCTTAAATCTGCTATCGAAATTTTTGAACAAGTTCTTAACACTTCCAGAACTGCCCATGACCAGTAAGACCGATAACTCAGTTTGCCCAAATCACTTAATGGTTTTTCAGGTGAACCAATCAAGCCCTCTCGTTTCGAAATTTCATAGCCTGAAATTCAGCCAAATACAAGCTTACATAAATCTCAAGCACAGAATTAACACCACTATTCAACTGTTCCGATAAATAAATGATTTAAACTCACTCAGCTGGATAAGGAACTTCCCATAACCACTTCGCTGAAAAGGAGGAAGTATACAAATGCAAGCAAGATTATTTCCGTCGGGATTGCCTTGCTCCTTCGAGAAATAACCCACCATTTGAGCACCTCGACTATCGACCTATAATATAATGGATCTTAAAAATAAAATAATGCATAGGAATGCTACAAATATGTCATACAAAACTTGGTCAAAAAATCTATTATATAAAACCTCGAAATTCAACGTTACGATTATTATAGATAACATCAACAACAGAAAGGATACTTTAAACGAACCTCGCAAAGTACATAGAATAGGAAAGGTTCAACATCGAAATAAAGCGTTTTGTGATCCAGAAACAACTTCGCCAGAAGACACAAACACTGACAGTATACCTAAAAACGACTAGTGAGAAAATTCCGAACAAAATTAATTTCTCAGGAAAATTATAGCTAAGCAAAGACGTAGATGCAGATACAACAAAAAACAAATAAAGCTTTACCTTGTCATTACTACCGAGAACTTCGTAAACAGACATTGATTTCTCTTTATAAATTTCAATGCCTGGTGGTTCTTTTCTTCGACATTCAAGCAGATGAATGCGATAGCTTCGTTCGAACTTCATGTACCGCATGCAGTACTGGCATATGTAAAGGCTATGTGCTTTCCCATAATCATCCGGATAAGGTGAAAAATACCACGTATCGATTTCATAATTCCCGTATCTGATGCGTTCAATATGTTTCACTCTAGTAACCTTAACATCAAAATCATGCTAGGTTTCACATGCTTGTGAAAAAAGCCGTCTAGATAATTATGGAAGTCACGGTAACGAAACATTTCAAATTTCAGTTAATTTTGAATCTGTAATCTAGAAAACCGCAGTAGGCTTATGAGGCTCAATACGAAAATGGAGTCAATCTGTCAAATCAATATACATTATTTTCAACATAACTGAACAACCTCTTCGTGCTCTTTTTCAAGTGCTGTCCTTGCATCCTTTATACTGGAGTGTGGATTAGGAGACTCGATCATCTCGATATGCTTCCTCTTCCGTACTCTTGTTATCTTCCTCCGACCATCATCGACTGATGTCTGCAATATAATATTTCTTATCAATTCCCAATTACAGTTATTGAACATTTTAAAAAGGGTCTATAAGCTAGAAAATGGAGTTTTTTATTCAAAATGAATTCGAAGTATTCCAAGATATGATTTCATGGAATCTATATCTTAAATCCGACTAGAAACATATATACATCCATATTTAAACGAGTTTTGTAACAGATTTCATGTTCTCCCTGGCTCTCCCTTGTCATCCTCTTTCAATACTTACATTTCTTTGGGCAAGAACTTTCTGAATCTGACTACGTTGTGCCCATTCATCAAGACGTCGATCTGTCCCTTCGTAATGTACGTAATACTCATTTCCTGTTCCTCTTTCTGCTGGTCTTTTATCTATAATAACAGCACGTCGTCGTCTAGCACTTCCATGACGCAAAACCATACACATTTCTCCCAACGCTAACTGATCATTTGAATTCGATTGGGCTTCTGAAACCTCGTTCTTTGTTGAACTACGACCATATCGCCCTGAACCCATTGCTAAAGGTAATTTAGATTATGTAAATATCAGAAGAGGAGGAAAATGCATGAAACGAACAGTTCCTCCACACATTAGATCGTATAGTATTGCAACGCAGACAAGACGTCTAACATAAACAACTCCATCTCCAAAGTACGTGATGAAATGGAAACTACGGCAAATAAGGAGTACCAGATGTCAAACATATGAGAATACCTCTGTGGACGATGCCATTACGTCGAAGATAACGATGTTGCCGTGTTGTGATGTACTCACGCTCATAAAGAGCTGAGCCAACGTTGCTGCGGCTATGGCTTGTTATGGTGGTCCTGCTTCTACACGCCGCTGATACCCTGAAAGTAATACCCGATTAATCTCATCGTGCAACCCACCGGATCATAAGTCACAACAATTCCATACCCCATCCATTATCTCCAGCAAACCGACGAGTCCGAACTTTACATCCCTTCGTTTGCACGAATTTCCGCCCGCTATGCAACACCTTTGCAAAATCATGAGTATTAGGCAGAACTGAATAACACTTACATGTGGTGGAGGAAATGGGAGTAGTGAAGGCGAGGAAGGGTGTGTGGACAGCGAAGGCTCAATTTCGGATTTGGCTTTAATTTCTAGACATAATGAGGTGACAGCGTAAATGGTTACTGTTATTATTAGGTGTATTCATATAAGGTTGAAGCCGATTACTGGTCAATTGACAGGAAAAGTTTGTAGGAAAAGTGTAGTGCTGGTAGAATTCGCATTTGAAATTATTTTCCTTAGCAAGGGACATTTTTGGAATAGTCACAGATATTAGTACGAAGTTTTCGAGATGAGATGATGGGAGTACACGAACGATTGCGTGGTGGCTGACAGACTTCTTGACATCCACTCTAGAAATGACTGTTTCAGGGCCAAAGTGTCTTTATGGAATTTGGTGGAAGAAACTAACGTGTTGATCTTTAATCTTTACTGACTAACAAATTCTCTGTACGTATTCAACATTTTGCATTTGGTTTAACGTATAATTTTTCCTATTTGTTATCGATTAAAATGTTTATGGATGAATGGTCAAGTCTTTACTCAACTCATGGTTTTATCTAAGCTTTTAATGTCCAAAGGAAAGCTTTGAATATTGCTGCTGCATCTTTGTTTGATCAAATGCTACATTTGCATCTGATATAAGTATCATGCATTCAATACATAGATAACATTTTTGATATTCAGGCTTTTTAGCTGATGAATAAGTTATTATATAGGACTGGTATTTTTATACGTACTTACCGCAAGCTGAAAAGAGTAGGACATACTCGTAACAGAAAGGGAATCCTTGATGATTTCCCGATTCTATGTCAAGCATGTCAAGCAGCTTCATTATTCCTTCAATATTATTACTCCTCAGTTATTTTTGAGACTATTTTGTAGGTCACCCAAGAATGGATGATGGAACAATGTTGGAAGTTCGGATAAACGGTGAAATTAATGGAGATGCAGCTTGTTTGGCGAAGTTGCAGAATACAACAGAAAGTATTTCTAGTCCTTCTACACCAGGAGTTGAGACCAGCAGTAGTCTTTCCGATACAACAATCGCGTTAATACGGAAGGAACTTGAACATGAGAATTTAGCAACCAGACCAAAGATAAACGATCAAAGTCATGCTGAGAATTTCGTTAAATGTATGACTGATAATTTTCTTTGCATGTCCTTGTATGAGATTAACTACATATGGTTAATAAGAACATTTTAAATGTGTCATGGAATGTCATGAACTTCTCACAAAAGGTTGTTTCTGGTATTTACTTCCGTCGTTAATGGTAATTGAGTTTTTTCTTTAATTAACAAATTAAAGCATGCAATTGCATTACTGGATGATTGTTTAATTCGAGATTGTTAAGCAGCTTTTTTTCAGCTAGTGAACAAATCTCGGATTCACGGGATTCAAGTGATTCAAGGCGGAAGTTTCGTGTTCTTGGATTAACTTTTCCCGGAAAATGGATGACAAGTGAAAAGTTCTGGGATTTACTGGAAAAAAGCGAATCGTTTCATATGTGGTTTGATAAAACCACAAAAGGTTTGTAATCTTCATGTTCACAAATGATTTTCATTCGGTTGCTGAAAACTAAATATTAAAGTGTCCAAACAAGTTCATTGAAAACTGATGAAGTGACATGTAATAATTTTAATCGTTAATGCAGATGGCACTAAACATGGTGGTCTGAGTACTGTTTATGAAACACCGGAAGAAGCAAAGCTAGCATTTGCCGCGTTTCATAAAATGACGTTTGATGGGAATCCACTGAAGTTACAAGCGTCTAAACTTTTTTGTACGTTTTTATCCGAATATTTTAATGAATTTTCAAAATAAAAGATTTCCCTAATAATGTGGTCATCTCATTCAGTCGTTTTGAATGGACTGAATAATATTTTAGATGATCCGATACCGAATTCTCGGATTGTACAACCACCCATGCCATTCAAAATAAATCTCTCGGATCCCGATGCCTCAAGACGACTCTATGCTCTTCATTTGTCTTCAGCTACTGATCAGGCCTTACTGTCATCAATATTCGGGAGCGAATGTATCGAAACAGTACAGTTGGAGGCCGATCCATTCATAACATCTGAGAAACAAGCTGAGGTTATTCATTTCGTTGCAATATAGGGTAGTTTTGAAGAAATGGGAAAAGATTCATCAAAACTTTAATAGAAGCGGTCAAACGTACGTAGTGTCTGCAGTAACGCATTTCTGTTATTGTTATATTGATTGTTGTAGATTGTATTCCATACCGTACAAGATGCGAATGATGCCCGATTAGAGTTGGCAGATGGATTTGAAATTGATGAAGGCGATCGTCAACTTACTATGAGGTTTTCTTTCTACATTTCTTTCTGTAGGAATAATAATTCATTATATATTTATTAAGTAACCGTTAATGAAGTATAATATGCTTTATATTCGCTGATTTTTTTTACATTTTTATTTAGTAGTAACGATTGGATTTACATGATATATAGAATTTTACTTGTGCTGGTAATCCCTTGTGAGCTATGTCTTTGAAGATAACATATTAGACCGAGTGTCGGAGCAAGCACTTTACATAACTGTTACCATCATAGTACGTTGGAAATCTAGTAAGTGGTAATGAAAGTTTTCGATTTACAGTTTAGAATCTCAAATCTTATTAGAATGAATACATTGTCATGAGCAGCGTGATTGATGGTTTCAGATTGCTGACAATGGATGAATATATTTCGTACATGAAAACAGAAAATGATAAAATTCTCAATGCTCGGGTTGTACCTGTGAGCGCTTCTTCAGCTCCATCTTCATCGTCTTCCCAACCATCACCCTCAGTATCATCGACAGCAATTGCAACTACTTCAGAAACAGCTGTAGTGCCATTTATTCCAGCCCCTGAAATTACAGTGGAGGATGTAACGAGTTTCGTGCAACAGGTACTTTTCCTTTTTTATGTATATAAACTCTCATCTAGTGAGGAAAGTACTGCTCAGAATCGTGATGTTGAAGTATTCATTTTCAGTACGTTGATGAGACACGAACAAATTGGGCAGAATTGAATGAAATAAATGAACTGTGGAAATTGTGTGATGAAGTAAGCCAAATCCATAGAGGGATTCCCGATTCTTTATTGAAAATTGCCTTGTTAAATGTTTTGGAGCGACATCAGCGAACTCTTCCAACTCACTGGATGAGGCAACATGTTGACAACCTCATCAGGTCATAAAAATGTTATATTTGTATCCCTTATAATCTTTGGAAGTTCTATAACCCTCAACTTAGGAGTAGAGTTGGAAATTTCATTGTATTTCGTTGTATGGGAATTTCATTGATGGAAATTTCATTCCATCGCATATTCAGTATTATTCATTACTGTTGGATTTTCCTCTTTTTACGGTTCTCTTAGCGTATCGGTTATTCACTGGAAGATGTTTTCGACATTAAATTGTGAACATAGTTAGTATTTAACTAATTATGCATTTTTCGAACACTACTCATAAAAACACATTTAAACTGTTTATTTAGGATATGGAAAAAAGAAGTGCAGAATATGAAAGGTGTTCAGCGCTCCACTAGTTACACAATGTGTGCTGCGCCATACATTCCTTACGATGTTCCTGAACGAAAAAATCCTGACATAAGTACCGCAAGGAAACGCGCTTTAGCAACAATAATGGGTGTCGGGGAAGTACTAGCCAAAGTCCGGACTATGCTAGCAACGGAGGAAGGAGAATTAGATGTTGACGAAGATGAACACGGTACTTTTCTCATCCTATAACTTGTTTATCTGAACTGGTTTAATGTTTTTTATTAGTTGCTTCTTTTTAAATTCCCATCTATCATTTGAATAAATTTGTGAGTTTCATTGAAATAGCATTTTTAAATGAAGAAGGAGTGTTGTCTTTTTTTAAGCTTACATTTTGGTTATGAATTTCAGGAAATTACACAATTGATGGACAGCCGCTGTCGTTTGAATCTTGGGCTACTATTAACAAACCGGTGAAACCAACTCCAATTTACGAACGGCCCCAATTATTTATCGATCCCAAGATGCGAAAGTTGAGGTTATTTTATTAGAGAATATATTTCGAGCGAAAATTTGACAATAACATCACGCTTTGTGAATGTCATTCAGTCCGTTACTATAGTCTTCTATTCCTGTCTTTATTTTTGGAACGTAAATTTTGCAGAAATTATGAACTCTGTGGGTCATACGTTCATATTTGTTGTTCGGATTTTCTTGTTTATTTATCAAACCATAATTTTAGAAACCAATGGAAAAAAGACACTTGGCAAAAGAAATTGGAAGAGGAAAAGATTAAGAAAACGCAGGAAGTGGATCCAGAAATTGAAAGTGAAAAGGAAAAGGAGTTGGTTCCAGATGGTGAAGTTGTTAGGGCAGAAACAGAAACTCCTGTAATAAGAAGAGAGGTTTGTTTATCTGGTTTTATTGTCTTGGTAAATGCATTCGTTATCATTGCCAATACTTTGTTCTGAGAAAACGGACTAGATATTCTCAATGAACATAAAAACCTACAAACAAGAATTGCTGACTGTTTGTTTAAGCTGGAAGAAGGAGAGATGTCATCGGAAAGTTCGTCATCATCTTCGGCTTCAACATCGTCAGATGAGGATATCGATGATGGAGCAACATCCAGACATCGGCGGCGAAAACGTCGAAGACACGAGAAGTAAATTCTCATATTTTTTGGGCATACGTATAATTCATTTTTTCTTCGTGTATTCAATTCTAGTATCGATTTTGAATTAAAATATATATAGTACTTTGATTCTTGAAAAAATCCTATTCACTTCTGTTTTACTTAAAAAAACTTTCGTCGTTTAATTGTTGCAGAAGCCCATATTTCGTTATCATTAGCTCATTGTTTTAAGGTTATAGTTTTTATTATTAATGCGGTATCAATATTTTAGTTCTTTATAGTTATCGATTTCATTTTTTTACAGGAGCAATCAATTAAATCCCGTCCAAGCTGCAATGGGTTCTGTTAACCCGCAGTTCACAACATTGTTTGCACAACTCTATGAACATCGACATACGCTGTGTCGATTGCTCTTATCTTCACACAAGAATGCATTCGCATCTATATTAGGGCAGGTAAAGATATTATCATTCGTATATTTCTTGAAATTTTTCTTTTAATAAAATTAAACTTCAGAGGAAGATAGCGTTTTTTTTCATAGAATATGTAATTTCAGATACTTTCTTCACCGCAAGGTATGACCTCAGCTCAACAAAACCAGATGAATTTATTTATCCAGAATTTCTCAACACAGAATTTACCGAAATAACCTTATTTTTATATTTTTTTATGTTGATATATTAGGAATATCCTATTGTATATATCTTTTGAAACTATCCCACTCTCCCGTTATTAACTATCGGGACAAGGTTATCTGCATAGATGATACAGATAAGATACTTTTTCAACCTATATTATTCAATTGCTTATGAAGCATATAACAGAGACAATACACAAAAGTTGTGAGTAGTAACTTCAGATGCCAAAAAAGATGCACTTCGTTTTTTGTTCCAAAATTCAAAGGGAAACGAATAACTGCACTTTGCTGCCCATTATGGAATAACTATAACAGGCTTATCTGGCCATTCCCATATTTGCCCTAGCGCTTTTGCAAAGATCGATCAGCTGTATTGTCTTTGTAATCAGTCCGGCTTATCTCTCCCAACAATTATACAGCAGCCATAGTTAGTGGATTAGGTAGTATCGGTCTAACCAATGTATGTTATAGTCGTGGCATAAAATACAGTGCATGTCTGTGGCGGCACAAGTTTTTACGATAACAGTTTATTGTGTTTATTGGTTTTATTGTTTTAAATTTTATATTTTTCTACACTCAAATTGCTTAACATTTTATACTTTTCTATACTTATATTGTTTCGTACTACATAAACTACCAATTTTTTAAATATGATTCATCTTAATAACTGTTTATACATAGATACGTTATGTATAGGTGTTCCAAATAAGTTTTAATTTGATGATGAATATCTCTGTAATCGAATCATATTTGCCACCGTCTTGTTGTATAAATTTGAACTTTATAGTGAACTTTCAATTTGGCCATGTTTATAATTTTGTCCCAGTGTTTTACTATACTTGTAAACTTCATTTCGTAAAATTCATCAAAATGAGCTTACGAAACTTTAATGCTTTGTTTCTTTCTGAACCTTTGGATTTATCCGACTTTTTGTAAAACTTTAGATATGAATTTTTTCAACCTTCCTTTCTGTCGAAAAATATTTTCTTTTTATTCTCATTTATATGATGCAGGATTTTTTAAAAATATTACTTGTTTGATGTTTTTTGTGCAAAATGACCGGCGAATGTTGCAACGTTTCATATTTAAATAAATGTTTATTAAGCAATTATTATTTATCTAGATGCTCACCGGAGTGCTGTTTTTGTCATGAATGCATGCTGCATTATCATATGAAAATAAGGTGTGGAAGAAGGAATATGTTCGGCAGAGGTATCTCCGAGCTGGCATTCATGTCAACATTCATTTAGGTAATACCAAGAGGTAAAGGATGAGGGCTCTGTTGCATAAATCGCCTTTTTAAAATTGTTAGGGCAAATTATGCTATCGCAAATTTGTCGGTGATGAGCGAAAAACCGTACATTCAAACCTCGTTGTTGACATATACTTAAGCATGCATTGTTGAAGGGAATTCTAGATTTCGTTCATTCCGACCTGGAGTCTCGCTTTTCCATTCCGTGGGGATGGAATGCAGCGACTCGCCTGCTGATAGTTCTTCCTTTTCGGATGATGAAGCAGATTACGATTATGGTTAGTTCATTCTGTTTAGTTATGTTCCTGTATGCATTAATGTTTTCTAAATTTCACTGGAAAGACCACATTTAGATGACTTTTACTGTAATGGAGAAAACTGTGCTATGGAGATGTTCGAAAGAGAAGATCCGGAATACATTGAATATACATGCCTGAAAGTTCCGGAGGTATGCATTATAAAGCTTTTGATAAATGTTATCCACATCAAATAACATTTTAGGTGGAATTTATAGAAAGCGGTGTTCGGAAGTACTCTAATTTCACAAAATTCAGGTCGAACGACTCTTAGAAGAAACTATGGATCATGTCGTTTCAACCTTGAATGTATCGTCTTCACTAGCCAAACTCCTTCTCTATTTTTATAAATGGGACGACTCCTCTTTAATCAAATTGTATAGCGTTGATCCTTGTAAAGTTCTCGTCGGTAAGTTTAATCAGTTAGTTTTAACTGTTGTTCCTGTAGAAGTTGGATTAATTAATCACGTATAGTAAATTTCTCTCATTATTTGAATTTCTGGTGTTGAGTCATGGGATCCTTAACGGTTTCTTAAACAATATAGTTAAATGGCTGAGTTTTTTGATCTTTACCTGAAGGCACATGCAAATTATGCATTATGGTCGATTGACTCTGGCAGTTACTGTTACTATATGCATGTGTTTTTTGCCTATGCGTATCAGTTTACTGTTATGTTAGTTACATGTTCGTGCTCAGTCTACTGCTTAAATTTCAGATTGCTTTGTATGCGCTGGTTCTTCAAAGCAACAATCAGGCACAATAGGCTGTGTGGTTTGTACAAGGTTACAAGGAGAATGTACCAAAATGTATGCACTGGACTGTGGACATAGTTTTTGTTCAGCTTGCTGGTTGAAGTATATCGAAACACAGCTTTGCAATGGCTTATCAATCACGTTAGTTTTTATCTCATCAGTTAGGTTCTTAATTGATAATCTTTAATTCACTCTGAAATTTAAACTAGTTTTCGAGGTGTATCGATGTATACGGGTAATTGTTGTTTCCACAGCTAATTAAAGCTGAATTAATCAAATTTCAGTCTAAATTAAAGCACATATGATTTAATGAATTTAAGTGAATTGTGCTAAGAGTTTAGCTTTTTTTGCAAAAATATTCGTTTTTTTCTCTTATCTTTTACTTATATGCAAGCCTTAAAAAGTTCTATTTATTAAAGATGAGTTAAAAATGGATTTTAAGGAAAAGAGAATGATCAAAATTGTTTGCAGGATCGGCTGCATGGCAAGTGGGTGTACATTACTATGTTTAGAAGACTTTGTACTAAGGATATTGAACGAATGTACAGAAATAAGAGATAAGTATGAAAGGTTGGTATTCAAAGACTGTGTTGAATCACATTCACAATTGCGATTTTGTCCGGGTGTTGATTGTCATATCGTTATCAAGGCACAGTGTCAAAAGGCGAAGAAAGTTACTTGCACCAGTTGCCGAATTTCTTTTTGGTATGTTCCAAACTTGCTTTCACAAAATTTCACTCACATTCCATCATGTATGAGTGTGAACAACGGTTGGACAGGACATATGCATGGAGATCATTTCCTTGTAGGCAACCTGAAGTGAGCTTAGTGAAAGCTGAACAGTTAGAATTAGAGTCAAATTAGAGTCCTAATTAACGGATACATGGATGAAAACATTATAGTGACCAGCATCGTTATCAACTTTTTATAGTTTTTTTCTCCGCCTTGCTTTGGATACAGTTTTGCCATCGCCAAATAATGTTCTGCATTGAAGGGCTGGGACAGTTTTGGTAGTGTTTCGAATTTATGTTGTTAGTTTTTGTTTTTGTTACCAAAATTACGTAAATGATTTCTATGTCCAATTTTTGTTTATAGTTTTCAATGTGGTTGTGATTACCATGCGCCGACTTCATGCGAGACAATACGCAAATGGTTGACTAAATGTGCTGATGACAGCGAAACTGCCAATTATATAAGGTTAAAATCTTATACAGTTCTCTTACATAGTAATCATACAGTAAGATGGTTTTAATCACTTTTCTGAGATTGTCTTGTTTCTGTTACCAAGAATACTTTTGTCTGTAGTATCCAATTAGGAGTATAAAACGATATTAACCTTTTGTATTCTGCTTAATTTGGTTAATTGTTTATGTTCGAGTAATTTAGTGCACATACGAAAGATTGTCCCAATTGTCACTCATGTATCGAAAAAAACGGTGGTTGCAATCATATGCAGTGCGCCAAGTGCAAGCATCATTTTTGTTGGATGTGCTTTGGAGGTCATTCATTTTTTCTTTTTTTTGAAATTTTTATTAATTGAAGTCTATTTAACTACTGTTTAATGAAAAACGGCGTAGTCTCATTATGCAAAACCTAAGCTTCATTTCATATCTCAATGTTATTCTTTTGTCTGCAACGACAAGAGCAATCAGCTGAGGAGGTTATCCTAAAAAAGTGTGTTCTCTATAAATCAGTAGCTCAGGTCATTACCTCAAGGCAGATTTTGAATTTCAAATAAAATGCCACCGAGTATTGCGTACTTTCTGATTCATATTCATTTCCATTTCTTCACTAGGCAGTGACAGAGTTTGGTTTCTAAATTCGACTTTTTATAGACTGGAAGAACCATGGAAGCGAGTATTATGAGTGCAGTCGCTATAAAGAGAACCCATCTATAGCTCAAGAAGCAAATCATGTCAAAGCCCGTCGTGCGCTTGAAAAATACTTGCATTATTATGGTGCGCTTTTGTTTTTAGCATTTTATCAAGATCTGCAGAATATACTAATTTTCAATGATCTTTGTTCAAATAGAATCAGTGAGGTAAAAATGCATGACATAGTGTTTTAAAAATGATATTTGTAAAGTTTGTTTTGCAGAGCGTTATGAGAATCACCACAAATCGCTTAAGTTGGAAGAGGATTTGCGGAATTGTATAATGAAAAAAATCGATGAGAAAGTGAATGGGCATGAAGGGACATGGATTGATTGGCAGTATTTGCATAGAGCAGCCACATTGCTTACAAAATGTCGTTACACGTTGCAGTACACTTATCCATATGCATATTATATGGAAAATGGACCAAGAAAACAGCTGGTATGATATTTTGGGATTCTAAAGGATAAATTTACTGAAATTCTTAACGAATTTATGTCGAGTAGTTGAGACGACGCATATAGTAGTTTTATTGATATAAATTAAAAGGATCCGTGTTTAAAATGCCTGGTTATTCAATTCAGCATGACTTCTCGCTGGAAAGATTTCGTGAGCCATGATATAAGAGAGAGAGATTTTGAAACTGGAATGTTCTTGGTTCTTAATTATTTACTTGTTCAGTTTGAATATCAGCAAGCTCAGCTGGAAAAGGAGATTGAAGAATTATCCTGGAAAGTTGAGAGGGCAGAAAGTACGGAGCGAGGTGATCTGGAAACACAAATGCATGTGGCAGAATGTAAACGACGTACACTTCTGCAGGATTTCTTCGATTGATAATTCTACAGAACAACTTAATTTCCTTCATCTGCTTATATCTAGTAAGAAATTTTCTCACTACGCTGTTTTTGTGGGGTTGTATGTAGTTTGTGGCTCTGCTTGACAATCTTTGTTACTACTGACAACCATTACTGTTTTTTGCTCACAATTTTGTTTCGTATTGATCATTTTCCAATCACTTCCTTCTGTTTATGTGTCCATTTTACAAATTTATTGTGATTCGAGAACTCTTTTTCCAAAAGGTTTCTTTAATATCGCCAATTTACTTATTTGTTGTTCGTGAACCAATCAATATTTTGAAACTGCATTTCTATTACCTACATTCTGAAGAATATGCAAATTAATTTGCTCGGATTTATATTTCTATTGGTTTATATTCCTGTCAATTATTTGTTCTTTCAAAAATGTTCATGTCTCGAATTATGCCTTTTAATTCGTAATAACTAGTTGCTTTTTGTATTATGCTTGCTGATACTATTTTAACACTAAAATAGAGGTTTATGCGCTCCTTTGACCTTGCAGCATGCAGCGAATACCATCATCAAATTTATATTCAGTAGGGATTTCCGGCAGAGGAGCTTTGTTTTCATTTTGGATATTTAGATTTACATCATCGAAAGTTTAGGGATCAGTTCAAAATCTCATTTTTAATTCCGCGAATTCCATATCTCATTTCCGTAACATGCGCAATTAACTTTTTAGATAATGGAGTGGCCCAGAAGTAAATTGATTCCCCTTGAAAATCAAAATAAAATTTTGGCTTTTTTTCGGATTACGTGGTAAAGAAACAAATTAGTAATTGTTAAGCAATCATTTTGTGAAACCGAACTCAGAATTTTTGGGTATGCCGTTTTATATACATATTGTATCCTCAGTTAACGTTTGCCTTCTAGGAAGTATTTCGTTTGTTTTGTGTTTTTTGCATTGTCTTTAAAACCCTTTTTGCTTATTACTGGCGTTTGGTTTGTAAATATCCTAACACTATATTATAAATCATTTTTTCATAACATGCTACGAGTTTTTCTTTATGATTAGCAACGGGTTGTGTTGGACATGAATGAGGTCTCAGTCAAACAGTAAACTATGTACTGGACGATCAAAAGCTATCAGGGTTTTCTTTGTCGGCAATCTGTGGGTAAGACATCATTAAGATACCGAAATTCGTAGATTTAGTTGTATGAAGGGTATTGAATTAGCGCGGGCGGTGGTGGTGGCAGTGTGATTTTGATGTAGATAATGGACTTTACATTTCACTTCTATTAACAGCAACCTTGATGTATTTTAAAACATAAAATATTTGAACAGGTGCATATGGATACTAAAGAAAACCAATCGAAATTTGGCTTACTGGTTGATTGCCGTCATCTCATCTTTCTGACGTCACATTTTTAATGGTGCGATCAGTTTCAATTCAAATTGATAATACTTTTGCCTCTTCCATAGTTTCATCCTTGATATATAGACTGACTATAACAGCCAACAATAAGGATGAAGGTAATTCAGGTTTATACTTTCGTCGGTGGCGTACGCCGAATAGATCGATGAGAAGGAGAAATTATGTGGCATTTTGAGCAAATAAGGAAATGAAACCGACGGTTCAAAATTGCCGTTTTAAATGAATTTTCTCTTATTTTAGGATGCAGTAGGTGTGTATTTGATGTTAGGTTGAAAGTGCAATATATCCGCTGTTGTTTTGAGTTCCTGGAAGACATTCAGGAGACAACTCTAGTTGTTGTCGTCCTGAACGCAGAGAATTGTTAGAAATTAAAAGGCTACCTGCAGTTCATCATTCACTGTTCAAAAATAACGATTACGAAACTTCAGAAATTTATTCGTAATTTGGATTTCAAAATTAGATGACATTGAGTGAAAGCATCGCTAGCCAGAGAAATTGACGAAAAAAAGATATGAAACAAGGTAGGCAAATGATGTTACTTTGTGAGAAAAACTATCATTTCAGATTAAAATCAAATCTTATTTCAATAAGTTGGTGAGTTTTTTTGCAACTTAAATTGAACGATTTTAGCAAACAAATTCAAAAATCAAACCGACCTTAATTCCAGTATATTTTGAAAGATATATTGCCGTTTATCGATTTTTTTAATGAAAAGCAAAAGAAAAGTCAGTGAAATTTAAAACTGATGTAAATCGTTGATAAAAATAATATCTGATAAAGAAAGATTAAAGCGATCAGACAACTCTACAACACTATATATATCCATTCATTGTCCTCACGTAATCATTTCAACTGAAAACTTTACTCATCTCATCTAATCGTTGGAGGTATAAAAATCATTAGATATTACTTTTCACCTGTGATTACCTTCTGATTTTCCATTCAAAATATGCCTGTAAGACATGAAGTTTTTTTTTTTTTTCATTCAAAATATGCCTATGGTCCTGAAATTTTTAAAATTCTGGAATAATTAGTTACATAAAACAAATATACATTTGAGCCATCGAAGTAATGTAAATTGTACAGAGAAGTACAGTAATCTATCAACAAAATTGACAGAAAAAGTAAGGATCGATGTATCTCCAAAGAAATAAACTGTGAAATAGACTTTTCTCGTAATGTTGGTAAAATATCTTCGAATTTTTTTACTGTTGTAGTATACTTTTATACAGTGAATGTGAATTTCCTGTATGTGATAATCGATCAGAATTTCGATTTTTTGAATATAATCAATTGTCACCTGAATGACAGGATATTGTGAATGTCCAAATATATCGTGGTAAGCGGATGTGGAGTAGATTGGCTGAAGCAAAGAAATAATAAAAGGATAAATCCCGTGATGATTATATGTTTGAGGGTTAAAGTTGTTGTGTACACCGCACGCTTACTTCTTCCCATATGTAAATGTTTGGATGGTTGAGAGAATAGGGTGAAAAGGTGTATAGAATGAAGATCAGGGAGGGAAGAAGGAAGGTGTACAAAGTGAACTTTCAAAATTGGTACAGCCCAAGGACATATTGTATGATGGTAATGCGGGGCGGGGGATGAAGGCAATAGGATGACGGCGGGAAGAGAGGAAGCGGAACAATAGAAGAATGGTTGTTACCCATTAGGGTAACTCCCTCATAACATTTGTACCTCGTTATTGAGGTGTATGCGAGTGTGTGTTTATGCCTACCAAATTGTGACTATACCTATGGGTAGGTCCCCGAAGTTTGAATTGGCAGTAAGTGAGGAGAGTCGGTAATTGTTTGTTTCTCCATATATTGGATAGGAAAGAATGAGATTGAATGAACAGGTTGGATTGGGTTAGGTATAAATAGTGAGGGTAAAAGTAAGTATTGGATGAGGAATGAATAAATAGTTTTAACTGAGAGAGAAACTTAACTTCACGGTATAAAGGAGAGAAGTGGAGTACAGTGACATAGCTGAAAGGGATGAGAGGTCGAAATAGACGAACGGAAAAAGGGAGGAAGAGGAGGAATGATTATGGTGTCAGTTGAGTGTCTCGAAGATTTTTCGTTAATTTCAAAAGCGTAAAAGGGATGGCTAGGCGGATTGGGTGAGGGCGGAGGTTGCGAGGAGGATGGAAAAGCAGTCTATGTGTATACGTATATAAATATATATACACATATATATATAAATATATGCATCATGCCTCCGAGTCAATGATGCCTGATTGGTGGCGAGACAGGACGCTCGGTCGAGGTTGATCGGTCGGGTAAATAGATTGGTTGTTCAGTCACTCACAATAGTTATAGTTGCTATTGTCCTTCTGTCAGTCACTATCCTTGTTGCTGTCCTGACGGGGTAAATGAGATGCTGTTGCTGTGATACCTACATTAATGCTGATGGTGTGTTGTCCCCCTTATAGCAGTAACAAGGGAGAAAGTGAAGATGGAGGAGGAGGAGGAGGAGGAGGAGGGGGAGGAGGAGGACAGAACTATTGTAGCAGTATCTATTAAGAGGTGTTTCATCAACTGATCCAGTCATTTTATGCCTCACGAATCCTTTATCCGTCAGTACATGTGCGCGACCTTTCACTTATTCCAAACATCATCCAACTATTAAACATTGCGGGAAAAAGTAAATTGGGAATGTCTGTTTAGTAAGGTATCTGTTCAAAAAATGACATGCATATTTGGTCCATCATTTGATATCCGACTTTGTTTAATATTTGCCACAAATCTGTATGTCGTTCGAATAAGTTCCAGAAGGAGGCTATCGGTCTTGTCAATTCATGTGTCATATTTTTTTTTGCGCTGGTCTTCACATTTTTCTGTCGCTTTCTTATCTGCTAATCCGTCAATTTCTGCAAGATATTTGGATTTATGACGGTGAATGTTATACAGTCGTGGAAAGAAACCTGATATATCTCATCCGGTATCGATCCGTATATGGAATGGATGGACAAAGCGTGAACCGCTGCTGGCACATACTCAATGGCACTAGATGAATTCACGGTTCCTCTCTTATCCGTGCATTCGCCAGTTCCATAGAGCTGTGCAAGTGCTTGCTGTCTTCAATTAATTAATCCTTCAGCTGTATGCCATACACTCTAAAAATTATCGAATATGTCTTTTCCATTTACGGAATTGATAATTATCCTGTTAGCTGGTAGCATCCTCGACATTCACTATACTATGCGCCATATAAAGTTATTTTAAATTTACAGTATCTTTTACTTTTTTTTATTTTTTTCAAATTTTCAACTTCAATTTCACCCCAATTATTATTCTCTTCATAATCTTTCACATACATTTAATCGAATGACTTTATCGTTGGTTTCATTTGTTCTCCCGCAAAAATAGTATTGTTTTTGGTGGCTAACAGAGCGAAAAATAATTTGTTTCTGCAAAGTGCGATGACATCGACTTCTTTTTCCAATCTTTCATGACTGTTTGGTCACTGCATTCATAATAATAATTTACAAAAAAATATTTCATTGGTCATTTTTTTTGATATCTGGATAATTCGGATTCCTAATTTTCACCCAAAATCTTCCTGAATGACACATCTGAGTACGGATAATTTGTAGTGGCAGATCGGTAACAATAAATAAAAGGAAATCCTTCGCCATTTTGAAGAAAAATATTATGATATCCGTTCCGCTGTTTCTGAATTGAAATGTAACTCTTCACTTCGTAAAGGAACTCGTAGTCTCTCTTGAACCTCAATCCATAATTGTGAATTACAAGCTTACGGATGGATGTGTTGAGTCCATAGTTCAAATACTGTCAAATTCTCTTCCCTCCAAAAAAAATGGTTAATGACCAACTATTAAGTTGACCCATCGTCTGCAGTTTGATTTATGGCTTCAATTTTACTCTGCAAGAGCTATCGTGCTAAGTGTGTTTGCTAGAAATTTTAATAAGTGATCATCAATCCGTGCATTAATTGGCAATACGCTGAACTCACTTAACTTACGAATCGTTATTTAATCATTGGACTACTGATTGTTTTAGTTATATAAAAAAAAAAGGGAAAAGAAAAAGTATGAAGAATAAACTTGTGGTGTTTCGGGAAACCAGACTTCATTATTTTTTCAATCAGTAACTGATTGGATTGGTCATTTGGATCTATCTGACTATTTATCTGACCACTTTAATCAATTCCTGAGTTTTCTTTGGTTGAAATTAATTTAGAAACAACGAAAAAGATTATTAATTTTTAGAATGAACTTATCAAGAAGGAATTAATTTCTCAAAAAACATTTTAACGAATGAGATTTAACCATGGGAAAAGTTTGCATAAGAGGAAAACAAGTATTCAAAATGTTATGCTAAAATTATTCCGAATTCATATCGTTTTTCGAAATATTTCCGTGCATCATTTGCTCAGATCTGGTCCTAAATGCAGAAAAGAAATAAACATTTGATATTTTAATGGGATTTATTAACATTAAAATTGTTAAAATTTTCCCTACTATTGCAGATGTTCCTGAATTTAATTCATTATGAAACAGCATTCTCTATCTCTTAACTATCATCACCCATTTTATATAAGTACCACTTTAATGAAGCATATTATTTAAGTTAAAACAACAGGATTCATTCTTCTGTTATCATTCAGGCATATATCAAGATGTTTAATTTTAGATGTAAAAAAATAATTGAGCTGATTCGATGAAAGATGAACTTGACAGTCTTATCTACTTTGTATTATCTACTGTTGCTGATAGATAACCTTCATTCATCTTCATCTTGAAGATGCATCCATATTTAATTTAAATTAATTAGATTTCTTCATTTGAAATCACATTTGTCTATAATTATTTTTGAATATTGTTATTACTTAGACTAAAATTAAGTTTATCGAATTCAGTTCTTTGAACGAAATTCCATTCCGTCACTTACCGTAATTTCCTTCATCCATCTTCCGTTTTCGTTCACTTATCTTATTCCTATATTAATAATTTTGTAACAAGCCAAATTTTATTGTTATTCTCAAGTCTTTGCAGCAATAATCATAAAAATAAAACATACAAACAATCAGCGAGTGAAAATGCAGATAATCTGATGAAGAACCAGTATCCCAGATTTTTGCAGTAAGAATCATCTAAAAGTTTGGTAATGGTTTTCAAGTATTTGTTTGTAAACAGTGCTGTACCGTGCAATTGTTATATTTGTTATTATCTTCAGTTCAAATTTTTTGTTTTAAGACTCAAAACACTCTGTTTCTTGCACGTAATTACTTCGTAATAAAATTTTCAAATTTCTTAAGTCACGTGTTCAACATCACTTTATCATTGATTATCAACTATTTTTTGTACGACATATTTTGCAACAGTCAAACCAATGAGCAATACTTGTCGAAAATTGTCATTAAAATAAATATTTGAAGTAGCAAATTAAAATACAAACTTGAAATAATCGTTCACGAAATTTAGTAAAGTAAGTAATGCATTCTTTCATCAACATTTTCCTAACGTTTATTTCAGCATTTAAAACGTGCATTTCATTTATTTCCAACATTTTCCAACTTTTTTAAAAATCTAAGTCTTAATTTAAATTTTTGAATCTATTAAAGTTGGATAGTTCTTATATATTATGTTTTAATTCATAATTCCATACACTGTGATACATATTTTCAGAATGAATAGTGATAATTTCTATCTATCATAAATTCTTCCTTCAAAATGAATGAGATAATAAGCAAATAATATGAAAAATTGAATGAAATTTGAATGAATTAAAGCAATTTATTTCCTCTGTTTATTTTTAGTTTTACCTAAAATTTTAAAGTGTTAAGCTGCGAAATAATTTTCTGAATTTTTATCATTTAACTGGACTTCATTCAACCTTCTATATGGTAAGATTATGGTAGTATTATGGTAGTTAAGTATTCACTGAAATTGCAAGCGATCAAACAATTGTACAGCACTATTACTTAATACCAGCAAAAAAATCTGTTCTATAAACATATTTTTATACCTTAAATGATTACTCATTCAATCTTTTTTCCCATTTTTTTTCCTTTTTCCCTCAAATCGAAATCTTAAAAATCTCCCATAATATTTCGAGAGAATTCAAAAATTTCAAATATGAAAGTAGTTGAACTGGGTAATTTCAGGATATGTATTGTTTTTTCGTGATCACATTGAAAAGACAGCTGTTGTACTGTTTTTCTCTCAAAACAGTCTGTCAACTTTTTGTTAGATTTTTAAATTCCACATGATAACAATTGAAATTATTTTCGCTAACGTGAATTATTTACATCTAAAAAATGGTCTTATCTAGTTCATATATCGCATATTTCTACTTTGATGTATATTTTAAACTTCATTTACTTTCATTTAAATATAACTTTTTAAATGCAACACTTCATCATTATTGTATCTTTATTATAGCTATTCTCTACCTTCTATAATGATCGAGATAAATCATTAGTAACTGAATATACATCTGATTATTATCCATATAAGGTTGATAATAATCCGCATGGCATCAATCAGAATTTGCCTAATTTGCATTATCGATTAATTCATTGTGAATTTAAATAATAATTTTCAATGAGTATTGTCAATCGATGCCGAAAAAAGGACGTATTTTTTTCTTATAAAATTTTCAAATTTATTACATTTTGCAAATAACCTTTTATTTTCCGTTAATTTTTCTTCTTTTTTCGCATTTATTATTTGTTTGAAATAAATTGTTCATTCGATAATTCTTAGCATACAGAAATAAATTATTCATCCGATAGTTCTTAGCCATGCTGTACGAAAAAAAACGATCATTGGTCGGATAGAGAGGCAAGCAAAGGTACAATAATTCATTGTCACCAATAGTGATTTCAAGTTAATTTTCCTAACAAATGATACTGTAGGATAGAAAGGAAAAAAATATCATGACTATTGTAATTTCAGTAGTTACTTCATTATATTATGCATAAATTATGCTATAAGAATAAATGATAAGATGTCATATTTTCCTGATTAAAAATTCAGGAAGCGTAGTAAACACTCCTGATGTCCTTTTTTTTTCAACATTTCCAAATTTACCCTTATCTGCTCTTACTCATTTTTTTCATCCTTTCATCCATCCATTATGATTGAGAGTGACAAGGAACTACTTGACGGTATGCTATTTCATGGAAATTGATCGAAATAGCACGATTGAACATTCAATAATACTTCCTTTCATTGTGTCGGATTACCGGTTGTGACACAGAAATTGCCACTCATATAAAAGAGGGAACTATTGAAGAATCATACAGTAATATGTTGTAAGATAGATCAGGGAATAAAATTCACTCCATTGTGCTGAAGGGTTAGGTCAACACTAACAAAAAGGGACTTTTCCACAAATGGACAATCATCTGAAGAGCAGCAAACATAACAATCATCAGAAGTAAACTGATGATGATGACCTTCAATTGTAATTTCGAGGAAGCATAGGGACAATTAATGGATGAATAGAGGAGAGAAGATGTAATTGTATCCCTGGTAAATAACTTGCTAGTCATATATGTTTGCGATGAATCTTATGATTCGATTCAGGTGGATCAAAAAAAAGATTCCAACACAGTATGTTTTTAAAATTCAGATGGATCAAATAAGATTCTGAAAATGTTTTGAGCATTAAACTTGCATATGGAGAGGGAGAAGGAGTAAGAGAAAGAAAGGGTGTGCGAATAATGACTCCTATAACAGTTATTCGTACAGAGAAAAAAAGGGAAGAAATAAAACATTGAGAATGGACGAAATTGAAGAAGGGATTGAAATTGTCACGATGACTCAATCAGTGTGTTACACAATGTAATGTTAATTAAAAATGCTTTGAGTTCAGTTCCAGATCTTCACAGTTTTGTGTTCTTTTATGGTGTGGTGTGTATTGCTAGAGAGAGAAGGTCAATTAAGGTTATAGATTATAAGGGGTCATAAGATGTCATTGAGTATGAGATGCACATCTGTTCAAGTATCGGTTGTCATGATGACAAACTAAAAAATAAACTAATTTTCGATTGTTTCGCTAGTAGTCCTTGTCATATCACGAATGATTATCATATCACTGATCAAGCATGTCAAACAAATTCCTCACTTATGTATTACTCTTAATGCTAAAAGCTACTTTGTGTATTATAGAAATCTTTGATCTCATGTTGATAGTTTTCGCTCTCCGCTGTCATAAATTTTAGTATTTTTAATATTTCCTGCTCAGATGACTGAGTATGATTAAACGCATTTGGGATTGTTAGTATTGCCATTTATGCTGTTATTGAAAAGTCCCCTAATAGATAAAGAAATATGCAGAAAGCTTACATGTATCGCACCTTTTTTTGGTTTCTTCCTCTGTGATAGAAACTGTTGATGAAATTAACCTTTACAGTGTCATGTTGAGCAAAATGACTCCACATTTACGTGTAACTTTCACGGACTTCTCTTTCTAGAAGAAAGAGAAATATTCAATCCATTCTCCTCTCCTGAATGCAAAACTTAGACACTTCAAGCTACACCATCCTTCGAAAAGTGGCAGCCATGGCAGTTTGGATCAATTGAAGGTATTTTAAGTTAATATTTTTTTCACTTTCTGTTTATCAATTAATAGGGAGGACGACTTTTCGAAGGCTACTTTAAAGTTAACTTATGAGCCGTTAGTGAGAAAAACTGGACTATTGCACTGTTCTGGTCGTCCCTTATTTTCAAGTTTAATGTTATGACATTTCTATTTTGGGAATGATATCATTCTTCCTATTTTTTGTTCGTTCTTTTTTTTCATGTGTGCAATAAAATGTTAACAAAAAATAAATCTTGACAGCTATTTAATCAATGATTTTTATTGTAGCGTAACGATATTGACAAATGATTACGAACGATGGTCTATACAGTGATAGTCTATTTGTAAGCGGTTGCATGTGTTGAATGGTTGAAGTAATGACGAGTGAAGTGGATTGTCGTCGTGGTGCTCACGTTAATCCAGATATTTTCAAGCTTGAAAATAAGCCTAAGGTTTGCTATTTATCGTTTACATTAAGCTGGAGTTAAGGAAAGAATGGACTCCAATTTTTCCGACAGAGATTTTATAGATTTAGTTGGTACTTGATATTTGTTGAGAAAAAACTGTTCTCAAAAGGGAAGTTAAAAGCGACTTTTCGGGATTGAGAGCCTAAAGGAAATTACAGAGTATAAAAACACTCATGCCTGTATGTCAGCCATTTATTAACTGGGAAACAGTTCTCTGAGAATTGTTAGTTTATACTTTATTTCTTTATCAGCGAATGAACTTTAAGCCTTCTTTATTATTTTTCATATAGTGAAATGAGTATTTAGTATATCTAACGTCGATTTCATGATGGAAAACGTGCAGTGCAGTTTGCTGGATATTTAATGAGTAAGTATTTTCAGAATATATTATGTCATGAAATCGGTGCAGGTTCTCGTTGTTTAAAGTGTGATTGTCCGGGCCTCGATTTACACTATTGGAGGTAATTTTCCTAATGCTCGGCAAAAGTATTAATAACTTTTCTTTGCATATTCCTTTGCTGCATCGTGAAAATAATATGAAAACTGTTTTGCAGGAAAATGTGTAAAGTATGTTCCTGCAGGATGGACGATCACGATGTAATATTACCAAAAAACATGGATCATGGCCAAATAGTGATAGGTTCTCGTTTCATCACTCTTTTCACTGATTGCATTCGTTCGCTTTGTTTAAAATCCTGAGCGTTTTGTTGTCAAACATTAACTTCAATGTTTGAAAAAAAATGCATGTATGGTTAATTATGCTCATTAGCTGATTATAAACTTAATGTATTAAATATTACTAATTCTTTTGCAGGTCGTTTGTTTGATTTCATACCCGAGTTTGAGAGCAAGTTACGTTTACATCCCCCGTCACCTTCATTACCGAACTCAAAAAAAGCTTATCATGTTCCTAATACTAAATTGGAGGTTTGCACTTTTCATGTGAAGAAAATATATATATATCACTGAAAGTAATTATACTTTAATTTGTAATGATATCTGAAATTAGCTGCACAAAATGATTTTCATCATCTTGATCAACTTCCAGAAAATTCTGGAATCAATGTACAATGTGAGACTTGAAGATACTAAAGAGAAAAACAAAATGTCAGAATATACATGGGTTCCAACAACTGACAGAGCATTAGCTGAGAAATACTTCAGTGCTCTTCCAGAAAGCGAACGTCCTATCGCTGACACTGAGGGTGCCTTATATCGGCGTCACAAATTGCAGCATCAGGTTTGAAAATATTGGGATTTATAGTTTTTATCCGTCTTTTAGCTGCATTCTGTTTGTTTGTGGGCAGTCTTATCTTTACATCTTTTCCTTTAAACCTCATTAAAGTCATTTAGTTGAAATTCCATTTAGAAAGGAAAGGCGATTTTACTATCTGATCATTCATATCATTAATCCTGTTATACAAACACTCTACAAGCAAAATCGAATTTAAAATCAGATCCGCGCAACATATTCAAATCCATATCATTCTGACTTGAAAGTTTTGTTCATTTTTGTTTTCTTATTCGAATCTTTCTCTTCAGTTACCGCATCATGATTCTGACGCATCTGCTGCGAAGTCTCTAAAGACTGAATTGGATAGGAAGGAACACGCGAAGTATGTAAATACCGTAAAAGAAAAGGTTTGTTGCATTGCCGATTCTAATTCTAGTGTATCTAATGTAATGCTTTGAGTGTGCAGTCGAGCCATTGCGAAGTATAGCTCGCTACTAATCAGATACTGTTAGTAAACTTAATCTCTCCTTGTTTTCCTTTTTATTTTTTATTCAGATTAAAACGAACAATGATTGGCAAATAAAATGTTTTGAGAGATTTAGATTGTTGGTGTTGGTAGATTGATTGAATTCTCTGAAATGAATACATTAAATGACAGTTGGAAAACTGCAGAACCTGGATCGCATGGTGTTGGAAGCACTGGCTTGCAAGACAATTATGGGGTTAGTAAAAACTCTTGCTATCGTATTCATTTTGTGCTACAAAGTATTTAATCTCACTTATAAATGTTTCTTATTTAAAAAATACCTCCAACTTTCTTTGAAAATCCAGTAAAACCAACATACATATATTTTATTTACTATTAGTTATTTGCTAAAAATAGCTTTTTTCATATGAAAAAGCTTTTTTTCATTTTTTCATTTTCATATTTTTTCATTTTTCATATTGGGAGTTTTAGGAGTGTCAGTTTTGCCATAAGAATTTACAAGTTGGAGAGGTCGCTGTTGTGACAGATCACGGATCACCAAATGTTAGTCTTTTTTAATCCTTCTGCACAAATCAATTTTTTGAAGTACTTGTTGTATGATTCTACGAACAACCTAATTTTTAGGAAATGTGGCATGTCAACTGCTTCAAGTGCCATATTTGCAATCAGAGACTTGTGGACCTTCTCTATTTTTATAAGAACGGTGTTTATTATTGCGGCCGTCACTTCGGAGATTCTGTTTATCCAAGATGTTCCGGTTGTGATGAGGCTAGTTCTCTTGCATAGAAATTCTGTAAAAGTTTGTATAGACAAAATTTATCTTTTAAAGGTGTAATATAGGAGTGAATAATAAAAACTCTTGATTATTAGTATCGCAATCAGTAGAAGATTAAATGGAATCATTTGACGGCTAACATTGTTCATCTCTTAAAGGCTCGATAATATCCATGTTGATTGCAACTTATTCGAAAAGCATGCTTCCTTTGATGATTGAATATTTTTGATAATAGAAGTCCTCAATTTTCTGCATACTTTAGTTTCTCTGCGAAAGCTTTTTAGTTGCCAGGAATAGATGGGACTTTTTTAGCTTATTTTCTCGAAAGAGTATACTTTTGCCGAGGATAAAAGCTGGCACTTGGATCATTTTTGCTGTTTTGGATGCGATATGCAACTCGGTGGCCATCGTTATATGATGAAAGATGAGCAACCTTACTGCTTCAATTGCTATATGGAAAGACATGCTAAGGTGGGCTTCGAAATGTTATTTTATATATCACATCTTCATTAAGAGCCGTTAACATTTTAGCATATTAGAAAAAATTTTGTTGACATCTAGCGGTGGAAAAGCAACTCGTTCAATTAAATCGAAAATTTATTTTGTTATGTTGGTAACTTGTAAATTTACATTGCAGACTTGTCGATTTTGCCTTATCAAAATAGCGCCTGATCAACAGCGGATTTCATTGAAAGACCTACACTGGCATGCTGGAGACGATTGTTTCCGGTTAGTTGTCATTTTTTTTCCCGAATTGACTTTAAGAAAAGATATTTGATATCTACCATTCTAGAAGTACGAGTCATGGCTGATTAGTACGATAAGATTCTATAAACTTCGCATGTAGCAGGGTATATATTTAAAAACTCTTTGGTAATATTTTTTTGCAATATTTTCAGATGCAGATACTGCAGCAAGGTGTTGCTGAATCAGAGGTTCATTGTCAAAAATGAGGAAGTTTTTTGCAGTTCGGAATGCAAAAGAAGTTTCTTGGCTTGAATGTTAGTATGATGAAGATAATTTTAATTATATTATTACCAGTAGTTTCTAGGCTTCCTCAATCTCGAAATTGCCATGTTTGTCTCTCTCACTCTCCTTATGTATCAATATTATCAATGTGTAATTTGTTAATTTTAGTTATTTTTCAATTTATGTTTCGTTTCATTAGCAATAATACGAGACTACATTCCTTTCTGATTGTTGTTTGTTTTTATTTTCCTTTTAAGACTAGTTCGTTAAGAATGTTAAGAAATGTTCAGTCAACAGGTCGATTGTAACGGTGATAAAGTAGAAAAAGCGCATTTAACATGTTTGTTTCAAATGGAGACTGTATCTAAATCCATATGAAAAAATTTTTTTTCACTGCACACATTGTTCATGTGATGTGCATAATGTTTACGTCTTTGTCATTGTCTGTAAATCTGCCGGTATATTTTCATATTTTTTTCGTGAAAAGCGTATATATTGTTATATATATGTGTCTGAAAAGCATTCTCTTATTTCTGTTTGTTTACATTCCTCTTCCACTTATAATGTTTTACACAAATAAAGCAAGTTTGCTTTTTGTATCTTTCTCAGATTACTTGATTTTTTACCCAGTCTTGATATTGATTTTCAAAGAAAGCTGTAGTTTTTTTCTGTTAATTTTAAAAGCTACATTATTAGCTGTCTATTCGGTTTTTGTTACAGTTTTATTTCGTAATTATCCTTCGGAAGAAGTGCTTAAGTTTTTAAGGTTAGAAGTAAAAATGATTACAAGTGAATTGCATTAGTAACTTCGGGCTATGTCCAAAACATACTAGACACATAACTTCAAGAATGATAGGCATGAGTTTAAATGGTAGGATGGATTTCTAGGTGATGGAAGTGAAAGAATGGTTTGCTATAGGCATTCAATTTAATTACTCTAGAAATGTTAGGTATGGTTTTCATACAGGTAGTGTTTTGCGGCACTTTAAAATGGGCAGCATCAGATTTGAAAGAAGGTGAGATATGGAAAAACTAGGTTAAGAGAGAATCAGGACGTGAAATGAAGGGTAAAACTATGGTGATTGCCTAATGCATCGATGGAATTATGCGTGGATTGATTCATCCAAGGTCATGCCTCCCGATCTTCGTTCGATTATGGCTCTGCAGCTGAATTCGGCTATTGCTTACCTTTTTATTCGCATGACAGCAGCGATTTAACCTTGACATCATTCACCACCTCCCTCCTCTCCACCATATCATAATTTCACAGTGAACACATCGGATATTAGATTTGTTAAGGAGTTTGCCGAAGGAGCGGTTTCTTGGGGAGAACGGAAATTGATATTAGTAAGATTTGAAATTCGGGATATATTTGGTACCACATTTGGATATTTTTCTGATAAACAGGTCGGAATTGCAATCGATAATGCATAGAGGAAGATGAGTCCCAACAGTTGATGAGAATCTTCGCAATCTTCAAATGCTTCGTAATTTTTATTGTTTCAGTGTAACGCATTTTAGGAAAATCATTTTGATATTCATTCCCATGACTGAAAAGAGCGGTGAAGTGTTGGTTGATCGTAATCAGCAGTCGGCTGATGCACACAAGAAATTCTATTCTGTAAGTGCGATATATTTAATTCTTACGCACTTCAAATCTATGTATTTTTTGATATAAGATGTTTAAGACAAAGAAACCCTGAAATTTTGAAATATTAAGAGGTTGCCTGAAAATGAATGATCAAAATCAGTTATTTGCACATTGTAGACGAATATTTCTGTAGTGCGGAAACATGCAAGAAGTCCGGGAATAATCCTACAATTAAGTGCTTTGATATGGTTAACCCTACAAAATTCAACGCATACATTATTATTGCGGTATTCGAGGGTGCGAGTTGTCGAGGAGGTGTTTCTTCCATCAGTTGCTGTATTTTTCACTGAAGTTCTCAAATTAATCATCTGTCTACTTTTCATCATTTATGAAGAAAAGAGCGTAAGCAGGTTACTTAACTTGTGCTTAAAAGTTTCTTCGAAGATTAAAAGTTTCCCAAGGATATGCAGTTCCTAGAAAAAAGTTTTCATTGTTTTCGATATTTAGCTGATTTGGTAACCAATAACACTGTTAAGCTGAAAAATTGGATCGTAATATTTTAGAAATGGTGGATTTTTTAAATTCTTCTTTAAATGATTTTACAATATTAATACCATAATGGGCGCCTCATTTTACATCGCATTTCGAAAAAATAAAAATAAGTTTCAGTTACACAGTTTTTTTCCTTCAGTTTCATAGTTTTTTAAATGGTTATTCGATTTGTTCAGGAATGAATTTTAGTATGCTGGACCTTGTGAAACGAGAAGTATTTTATAATTCGAAAGATACTTTTAAAATTTGCATTCCCGCAGTGATCTATATTATACAAAATAATCTCTTTTATATGGCAGCATCTCATCTGGAGGCAGCAGCATATATGGTTACTTCTTTACTTTATAGTTTTGTGTGAGAAAGAATGGAGAAGGAAAATAGTTTTCTTATAATTTTAACGGAAGAAATATGAGTCTACATTTTCCAGGTGACTGCACAATTGAAAATTTTCACAACAGCAATATTTGCAGTAATTATGTTGAAAAGAACCATTGCTAGGAGACAGTGGTTATCTCTTGGTATACTTTTTGTTGGTATATGTCTTGTTCAGTTGGACCAGCATGGAGCAAAGAAAACATCGTCTTTCAGTGATCCTTATTTAGGTAACAGTTTTGTATTTTCTATTGTCAGTTTAGCCTTTCCAGTCGATTACTATCAAAAAAGGTGGTTCTTTTTTTCAGCACAGTTCTTGGGAAGCCCATCTATTCGCTCTATTACTTGGAAGATGCGCTATAGTGCACCTTTATGTAATATTTCTAGATTTACAATGGTTAAGATTTGTTAATCCTTAGACTGCATTACAAGTAGTAAAATTGTGAAAACAAAGTTTGGCATATGTATTTGCCAGGAGTTTTTCAAATGCTGGAACAGGTAATAAGTTTCGAATTGTTAATTTTATGTTCTTTTCAGGGCTTTTGGCTTCTATTTCTGCATGCATCCTTTCCGGTTTTGCAGGAATATATTTCGAAAAAATTTTGAAGACCAGCCCATCTGTATCGGTGTGGACGCGTAATGTGCAGTTGTCAATGTTTGGAATACCTTCAAGTCTCACTGCTTCCATTATGAAGGTATTTACATATAAATATTTACAAGATATGAAACTTTCTATCCCCGTCATTATATTATGTCACAAAAACTTATAATTCTAACTCATTTGTCCGTGAATAAAAAACATGAAAAAAAAAGCATTATTAAGGAAGACACTAAGATCATCGAAATTGCCCGGTAATGCAGTACAGTATTTACGTCGATTATTACATTGCAGTTATAGTTGTTCACCTGAAGCTCGCAGCATCGGCCATGATTTCATTTAATCCATTTGCTGATTACGTTATCAGTTATTGGTCTTCCCAATTTACTTTATGTGATTATTTTTAGTTTTATCTTGAAGCTTCGAGAAACATGTCCCATCGCATCTCAGTATTGCCGCGTTACTGCCACGTTCAAAAAATTACCGGGTCATAAGGTTTTTGTATTATAACGTTTTTCAGGACCATGAAACAATTTTTAATGAAGGTATGCTATACGGTTTTGATATGCTAGTTTGGATTGTTGTTTTCTGGTATTGCATTGGTGGTTTATCCGTTGCAGTATGTATTAAATATTGTGGTAATATAGCGAAAAATTTTGCAACATCGGCTGCTATCATTATCAGTATGGTTGTATCAGTATATCTTTTCGATTTCATTCCGAATCCATTATTTTTACTTGGAACCGGATTTGTTATCACCAGTATTTTTCTATATTCTTCATAGTCTTAGTAAAATATTTGGTTTTATATATTTTATATAATCTGGTTAAGCTACATGTGGAGATATTAAATTTCTGTAGGAGTGAAAAACTTTAGAAATTTTCTCGAAGTTTTCGACAATATCTTCCGAAAGTCACTCTTTTTTATTCAAATGATATATGAAAGATCACTTTTGGCGTTTCCTACTTCGTATATCACATCTTTAGTTGATATTGGTACGCAAATTGAAACAGTGTAAGGTTGTCGATAATTTTGCTCCGGTTAGTAAAATTTTTTAGTTCATTTGAGCAGCTGTAAATCTTTATTTACAATTTAAAAATATTTTGTTTGAAGTTAGGCAACATATATATGTTTTGTTACAAGTCACAATATTTAAGTAGAAGTATAATCCCATGTGCTTTGACGCCTTGATCTTGAATGCACATGTTATCGACCCCAATGAAAATTGTTGATCCTTTGCGGTGTTGAGATCTAATCATCTAGTCCATCTTTTTGCATTCTGTATTTAGAAAAAAATTTATCTTTTAACAATAAAGATGATAGAGCCTGTAATACTGTTACAATACTTATTCCATTTTATACTGATGGCAGTAGGTTCATTACTTATTATCTTATTCGTGTTTTTTGATATTTTCAGTTTTTCTCACTTTGTGGCTATGTTTCTTAAAAACATCATATTACATTTTCACGTTATCTTCTGTCCATATATCTAATTCATAACGGAAGAAACTTGCACTCAAGCATTGCAGTTGATTTTTAAACAGTCGGATATAAATTTACCGCAAAACTCCACTTTAAAGTTTCACTAATGTTCCTTTTTTTTTGAATTCATATTTCTAAGAAAAATGCAGGACAATGACAGAAGAAAGCTTTCACTGAATGTGTGCTTCGACTTCTTTCACATTTATTGATATTTAATTGCACGGCATGCTATGTCTTTCATTTTATTGACTCCTGTTAGGTTCATTTTGAAAAAAATTTTACGATGTTTTTTACGTGAAAGCAATAAATGTATACATCATAATGGGAGTTACAGATGTCAAATATCTTAGGAATACATTTAAATTTTAAACAACTTCAATTACTATCACATCAGCAAATTATTTAATGGATGAATGGATGACCAAATTATAATCTGTTATTTCCTATACAGCATTCCCCCTCCATGCGACACCTATGTTTTCGTGTTACACATATAACAAGTATTAATCAGGTAATGTTATCCAATTATTTAATAAAGCCGTCAAACAAAACGGATAGCCTCGGGCAATCTCACTATGATTGCATGACAAGAACAGGAACAAATTGTTTCATTACCCTTTAATTCAGGAACAAACACTTTCATTCAGGTTTGGGCTTAGCACATTATCAACCTTTTGTTACCCTTCAACACTCTTCATAGACAAGTTCACTTATAATAAAATTGGCAGCATCAGAATCGTTACAAATTTCACAATGGTTCAAACCGATTGACATGAGTGTAACCCATTCATGTTACTACCTGACATACATTACCAAGTTGTATGGGCAATGGGACAGTTGCTTGTAAGTTCTGGCTGGCTTTTCTATGGGTGTTATTTGTAGGATCCGGGACTGATAAAAGTTATAGATCACGGCAATCTCGATGTTACTGATGTCATCTTATCTATACAACGTTCCATTTTGATAGCGATTTGAGGAGATACCTTTTATTGTTATGGACTCTTCATTTTATGTTTCTTAATAACTCCGTAATATCGAGTCACATGCGGTCTACATTGTTACACGTCTTTGAAATTGTAGATTTATCCGGAAAGCAGGCTTTTTAGGTTCCAATTTAGAACCTGCCCTGGAAAGCCTGCTTTCCGGAGGTATCCAATCTAAGAATGCTGCTAGTAATAAACGATGTCTATTTTGATATCAGTGATGATGTGGAAGGTAAAGAAGACAAAAGGATGGGTTCACATACTGTTGGCTTTCCATGACTTCTAGCTTGTTTTTTTTAGATTGTATCTTATTAATACGTCACTTCACGTCGATGTCTGGTCGTCAAGGAGGCAAGGCAAAGCCCTTAAAGAAGCCTAAAAAGGAGCAGAAGGAGCTCACTGAGGTTTGACCTAGCTTAGTTCGTTGAACAGATAAAAACGACCCCTTTAAGTATATATATATATATATATATATATGGATGGCTTAGGTAATAAAGTTTGTAGCAGTGCTGGGATTTTGTTTTTTTCATTTTATTCAGGAATTTGTTTTGAGAAGGGAGATTGTCTGCAGCAATGTGCCCTGTTTTTAGGAAGATGTTGCATTCAGAAAAAAGCAGCAGGAAGAAGCCAAAAAATTACAAGAAGTCCAAGCAAAAGCAGCTCAAAAAGGACCGCTTGTTGGTGGTGGTATCAAAAAATCAAGCAAAAAATAAAGTTTCACTGATAATCTATAACAATATTTTATTGTATTATGGGTCTCTTATTCTCAACATCACGTAATCATATAAATTACTGACGAATAATGGTAACCGCGCATACATTTACTGATTTGTAAATTTCGTTTCCTAACAAATGAAAAATCTTTTCATATTAAAGAAGAGGGAAAGCGACGTAACGAATGGCTGTTGCGTATGTATACACATATGTATGTGTCCATATATATGTGCATAAGAATGACCATTTTTATCAAGAATTTGCCTTTTAGGCCATTGGGTTTGATTTCATGAGTTGCAAATCACTTGCCACCATTTCCTTCACAAGCTCCTGAAAAACAATACTTGTACTATATTGTGTACATTAATTTATTGTAGATCCTTTCCTGAATTCAATACCAAGTGACGCATCTACAAAAAAGAACTTTTCAATGCTTGTCGTCATAGCGTACCAAAATGGGCAAATAAGATCTTTAGTATGGTAAATTGTGTATCACTGTTCGCCATAACATTGTTGTCTGTATAAGGGTGAGTACGCATGACAAGGAAAAGTTAGAAAATTCATGACACACCTCCAGTGTAATTTTTGCCTCCCAACTGAGTTTTTGTTTCGCTTTTGTAGCATCGCCTATGAGCAGGTCCACCTGGAACTTATTACTTTTAACTTCATTCACTTAAACTGCACACTACTAATTACTTCCATAGATATGCATAGATATGAAGCCCTTAGTGACTTGAAACAGCTATAATGCAACTGGCTCAGCTAATCGAACAGAAGATTTTCACAACCCCGTTTATTATCACCGTTTCGCAACCGTTTGAAACTTCAACAAAAGTTCTCTAGGATACTCTTTAGCTTTAAACAAGCCGCAAACTACTTACCTCCGTTGGTCTATAGTATTTGGGATTAACTCTGACACGAACAATACCGGTGTCTTCTTCTTTCCCAATTTCATGCACTCCTTCACCTTCCCAACTGCAATGTGAAAAGATGATAAAACAATCGGAATATGGCATATTTTCAGTAGCAATTAAATTGCAATGGAAAGTCGAGTACTAGGAACCTACGGCATAATAGAAAGCAGATCTCAGTGAATAAAGATCATCTTAATGGCACTAGTCAAGACAGTAGAATCAAAACTAATTAAAACCCTTTTAAAAAGCGTATATCACCTATAGTAAAAAATAGGTATAAACAAAATAAAGAACCGGAAAGAGTGAAGAGAATTTTTTGGCATCGCCTATCAGTTAGGAAATACATGGTTTTCCAGGGCTCTCACCATGCGAACAGTTAGCTTGTTCCGTCTACCTACTTGTCAGATCACTAATAAGTGATGCTTAAGATTTACATTATTGTTTTCCCAATTTCCTTGAAAGCAAGCTCGGCGAATCGGCGAACAGTGTAGCTCTTCCCGGTTGCAATAACAAAATCATCGGGCTGGTCATGTTGCAGTATTTTCCACATTGCCTGCGTATCAAAACTACCAGTAAAATCAATTCTTAGCTGTTAAAATTCATCATATGGTTTCAGATAGTTTGTCACCGTAACCATCACGAGATGGTGTGTTCGACAAGATCCAATCTATACCTCACCTCATAGATAATTTGCTTTACGCCATCTTATTAGTTGGTGAAACTACAAGTGACAACTATAAAAACACTGACCTCGACATACTCTTTGGCATGCCCCCAATCACGACTCGAACTCAAATTTCCTAATTCCAATACGTCTTGCTGTCCTAAGGCAACTTTCGCAACTGCTCTTGTGATCTTCCGTGTAACGAACGTCTCCCCTGTATATATGGGTATTTTTAACGCTAACAATATGAATAGTGCAAAAGCAAGGAAAACTTACCTCGTCGTGGACTTTCATGATTGAATAAAATTCCATTGCAAGCGAACATGTTATATGCTTCACGATAATTAATCACAATCCAATAGCTATAAAGCTTTGCTGCAGCTGTAATCGAGAAAAAAAAGTAAAACAACAATATTATTTCAGTTGTTCAGATGCTGATCATCCGATTGAAGGTGACACTACCACATTCTGTACTCTACTCTACTTTTATACAGACGCACACACTTCTTAGACAGGGTAACGACATCAAGTGTTAATCAAACTACTCTTTCTCATTCGTCTGCTAGTTAAGATGTCGATGATACTTTTATCATTCTGATCTTAAAATACTGCCAGAATGATAACATACGATGAATTTTCTACCGCACATACTTTTCCGATAATTATCAGATATGCTGAGTGAAACATACCATAAGGTGAACGAGGATAGAAGGGTGTAGTTTCTTTTTGAGGTACTTCTTGCACTTTACCATATAATTCGGATGTCGAGGCTTGGTAAAACCTTACTTTATTAGTTAAACCACACGCATGAATGGAATCCAGTAAACGCAGTGTTCCAACTGCGTCAACTTCAGTTGTGTATTCTGGTAAGTCAAAAGACACCTGTAACATCCATTATTTAATCATCAAACAATTGATGTATTAAACTTTAAAAAATAAAAACGACTAAAAAAATGAGGCGAAATTTTTAAAAGTACTATAAACCTTGACATGACTTTGAGCAGCTAAATGATACACTTCTGTTGGTTGAATCTGACTGACGAGTTTAATCAGACAAGATGAATCCGTCATATCACCATAATGAAGAGTGAAGCTGGAGTCGTTATGATGGGTTACTGGATTTGAATACAAATGCTCGATTCGAGCTGTGTTGAAGGATGATGATCGTCGAATAATTCCATGTACTTCATAACCTTTTGACAGCAACAATTCGGCAAGATAGGAACCATCCTAATGGAATTGAAAGGCCGTTAGCATTAAATCGATCACTACTTACTGTATTTGATATTTGGATCAAATAGAATTATTTTAAACCAACCTATCTAATTTGACTAATCCAATCACTTTAAATCAACTAAAATATAACAATTCCGGAGGCGTAATCTTAAAAAACCTAAGAAAGAAGTACTACTGAGTACAACTGCGAAGTAAAAAAGGAGCAATTAAGCAATTAAAATATCTTAATTTATCTACGAAAACTGAAATGAAAGAAATAAGTGGAAATCAGGAATTGGAGGAAAAAAACACTTGCCTGTCCGGATATCCCTGTAATTAAAGCAATTTTCGGCGACCGAGATTTATATTTTTCTACTTCAGTGATGGCCTTCATCGAATGCCTATTATGAAGACAATTTTCAAATGCCTCTGCATTCATTTTTGCTGCATTAAGCATCACAATCATTATAGGCCATTATAAACAAGCAGCATTCGAAAAATCGGTGATTGGTTATGAATCAACCGCACAAAAATTACTCAACAACAAAATGATATTTTTTAGCAATCATTCCTGCACATCAAAATTTTGGCACGACACAATATTCGTATTGCCAATTTTTTTTCCTCTATGCAAAATTTATATACTTTTTTGATATGTATTTACATCATACTAAGACATTTACACTTCTGCTTGCTAGTAACCCTAGTAAAATAGGAAAGAAAATTTCATTCAAATATTTAATGCTTCGAAACTAATGAAAACTTTTCAAATGTTAACTTTAATAAGCAATAAAAATAAACAAATCATTTGATGTTATTATAGGAAAAAAAGAAATCCTTATTATTGTTGTTAATGAACATCGAACATCATTACTATTATAACATTATAATCTCATAATAAATTTATAACGAAAAAGAAACAATTTTAATGTTGGTGAATTTTCAAAACTATCACATGTTGCCAATTTTCACCGACATAAAACAATCATTCGAGTTTTTATTGAATGGTGATAATTAATAATTAATCAGATCTAAGCTATCAAATTTTCAATTGCTTCTACATGAGCTATCCATTGCCCAATCACCAAAAATATCTATCTAATTCAATAGTTAAATGAATGGGAAAAACAAAAACTATTGCTTTGCAGCTCTAAACAGAAGAGATTATGAGAATTTCAACAATAAATTCATTTACTCTACCATTACTTTCAAACATACATTACCGGAAACTAGTCTAGATTAATATGTAACTTCATTATTTCTAAACGGCTAAATTAACTTGTTTTTCCTAGAGTTGAGGATGGTATCTCTAAAATCTGAACATTTTAATTCAACTGTTAAAAACATTGTTAGTATTTGAAATTATGGTAACGATAACATTATAAGAAATCGACATAGAAATTTATTTAAAATGATCAAAGTTAGGCTCTTCCTTTTCATTCGTAATATTCATTCTATACATTTCTGGAATTCCTTCCAGAATCACCAAGGTGAATCTACTAGGATTGTTGGGAATATTAAAAAAAAAAAAATTGAAAAACATACCCAGATTTTCATCAATTCGTTTCACAACATGAAAAGAAAAATAAACAGTTCCAATCATTAAACCAATAATTTCACGTAATACATTATTTGTAGCTAAACAACAAACCAATCGATATCCCTTTTGAACCAAAAATGGAGACAATTGAAAAGCTTAAAAGTAGTTAATTGTTGTTAAAACAAAAATAAATGATTTCACAAATCTGAGTATTTATTATCTTCCTCGATCATTTTAATAATACTTTTTGATATTTTCGAAATGGGTTGAATGGTACATGAAAGAGTACATGATAGTATACGAAATTATAATGAATGATAGAACTAAAGCAGTAAAGATAATAAATCGAATAAAATAAATAGAATCTTATGCTTAATCTGACAAATATCCATATAGCACTTTTCTCTTTCTATCTGCTTGCATACTTCTTTAACTATCCCAAATAATATTTTTTTTGATATGTCCCTGGATCTCAGCTTGATAAATAGGCAAATATTTCGAGAAATAAATAAAGTTGTCGGAATGATTTCGCATATTAACAGATAAGTAGGTAAAGAAGTCATTACTGTAACTCATCATTCCACAGATGAAGGAGTGATAATGTATATCAACCTGTTATACAAATGTTACTAATCATTCAGTAGTTTCAATTATTTATTTAGAATGATTATAAAACCGTTCAAAATTTATAACATTTTTGCGTAAAATTGAACAGGACAAAAACAAGTTAAAATCAATCAAATAAGAAACATCCTATTTATTATAATTACAATTGATGCAATTAATGATTTCAGGCAGCATGGGAACATTGATATTCCGCAAACCATGGATTTTCTTTACTTATTCATCTAGGAATAGACAACAATAAATGCAATAAAACCAATTCCGTGTAATAATATTTCACTTAATAAACTTGTTACTCAACTTGATTCGATAAAAGCCTTGAAGAAATTTTATATTTTTATTAAGAAGTTGAAACCACATTTATTGAGTTGTAAAATGTAACAGAAGAAAATAAATGAAAAAATGATTAACATAACTTCATTCTTCTTCGACATTCGACATATGAAAACATTGAATGCTTGATGATTCATGAAGATTCAAAACTCTCACATTATTTCACATGGCAGGAGATATACAATATGTCCTTCGATAAAAACTGTAATAAAAACAGGCTACTGCACTTTTTCTCGCTCTCAGAAACACTTAAAACTTTTATTGCAATTCCTTCTAAGCAAATCTAGGAGCTGATACGAATAGATAAACCACCATCACTTATGATATTTCGTTATTCATATCCTGATCTTTATAAGTGAATCAGAGCACGATTCTTAGTTTGTCGGAACCTTAATGAAAATGAGAAACGACCATTAATAAAAAATGAAAAACAAACCGTTCCCGTAGCTTCGAACATGTCTCATAAAAACTTCGCATGCAACAAAAACAAGGAGAAAGGAGTAAATAAAAATCCTTGCAAAAGATAATCCTTACTTTATATAAAAAGTTAAGTGAAAAAGGGTGCATATAGTATTTGCAATTTGACCATGCTGCTGCATTCAAAAAAACTCATATTTGTTTGGAGCACATACTGAGATGAAATTTCTACCGTGCGAAAGATCAATAATGAAATAAAAGGGTAACAAAATAATTACTCTTATAATTAAATCTACTAAAGGAAGAGAATAGAAGCACCCGGAAACTGGGCGAATAGCAATAAGTTATATGCAAATTGTGTTTTGACGTAATCAGCTTATTGGCCTGTAAAAAAAATCCTGATTCTTTCAACGTAGATGTGATCGGTTGCTGTCACGTTGCGTGGATATTATACTAAAGGAATTAAAATTCTACGCCCACTACTGAGCTGGCTATAATTTTTCCGGCCTTTGTCCTTATTTCTTTATCTTCGTTTTCCCTTGTCTTTTCTTTTTGGTAAATATGGTCGTAAAAATTTTGTAATACAGGACGGTAATTCCTCTTGTTCTGAGCAGAGCTTATTGCTATAGCGTTAATCACCTAAAGATTGCTTCTTTCAAACAGAGTAGCTGATTAGCTAGTATTTCAGTTTTTGCCAATGTTCATTATGTTTGTTATATTTACATTTTGGATGGAAGGTTGAAATAAATAAATAATAAATGACAACTCTAAAATGTTACTAAATCACCAAAAGAGAAAATCAGCTGTTACAATAATGAAAATAAAAAAATGATTTCATTAATAGTAAAAGCTTGTGAAGATTGGACAGTAAAAGAAAGCATTAGAAAGAGAAGAGAGAGAGAAAGAGAGAGAAGAGATTTGTTCTCCTGGGAAGAAACCAAGAAAATAGAGATTGTTATTTAAATTGATTGTTCCTTCATTAGTGCAAAATAATAAGTGATATCATGACGATAACGCGGCAGTCTCCTGTTTCAGAAGAGTTTTTTGCATATCAGAAAATGATTCACAATCTTCAACTATCATTTCCTCGTCTTCACCTGTTTTATAATAAGCACATTTCTCCCCTTCTGCATCATTATTTCAGGTGGTAATAGCTGAAAGAATCAAGACCGTATTAGAAATGTGCTTATTATAAAACAGCAAAGAATTCGAGTGGATTCTTTTTCTTCCACAATATTTTCGATTGCTAACTCAGATCTATATGAAGTTTGTTCCAGCCTATACTACATGCGTTTGCACTTTTTGTTTGGTGCAAATTTGAACTTGAAATCGCATGAAGTGAATGCTACGGTACCGAGTAATACAAGAAAACAGCCTACACAATGCATAAATGTGAAAGGATTGTTGAATAAAATAACTGAAAGAACTATCGATAAGAATTTCCTCAGCGTTATAATCATTGCTACATTCAGCGATGTAGTTAGCGAAATAAGCGTATGTACATTCGTGATACAAATCCATCTGTAATTCATTAAAATTTTCAGTTTTAGAATAATCATCTATGATGTTTAAAAGTCAGTTAAAAAATAGATCTATTGCAGAATAACCGCAGAGAGTATCCGAACATTTTACTTATACGAATTTTCTTTTTTTGTCAGGGGATAACATTCAACATTGAAGCTTAATGGCTCCGCTCTAACAACCTGACCCGTAATTATGAACAGTGTACACATGACGTACTAAAATATGAAAAATACGGCTTTTAGTACCTTGACTATATTATTTATAAAGAATAATTTATGGTCAAAACATTCCTAGTGGCTACGTACCACTACAGCTCACAATAATAAAATCTATTAAACAAACAAAAAATTACTCACTGAAATATGCTATTCAAAATCATATAAATCCATAATGAAGGAATCGGGAAATGAAGTCCAAAGATGAAGAGAGTATCCGAATTGTTGAAATAAACTGCCGCTTGTCGAATATCATTGTAAAAGAAAAAAAAACCAGGTAACGAGAGGATATGCTGCAAAACTTTCTGTGTGCAAATTTGGTTATCAACAAAATTAGAACAAACCTAATAAGCAGTGGTAAAAAAATGCAAAGGGAAATATTGGACTTACAATAAAAAACACCGCTTCTTGTGAATGATTTCCATATGTACAACATAGATCTTCTTGGCATATGTCTAGATAAGCCGACAAGAGCGCTGCAAGCAGCAGCAAAAATATTCCTAAAACAAAAGTCCAATTATTAAAAGGTAGACGCCATACAGAGTGTTGAAATTCTGTGGAACAAAAACAATAGATGAGCTAGGATACTGTACGAGAAGGACTGCGTCATTATTTCCACCAATGAGCTGGATTACCCATTGATTCTAATATTCTAAATAGAACCTAATCTTACATACTTCCGAAATCACCGATCTAAATATCTGCAAGAGAATGAGCCTTTATAGCTGACAGCTTGAAATGATAAAACTGATAAAACTTCGATAAGGATAAATTTCAAATTGCCGATAATATATTTGTACTGGATAACTTTTAACATACAACAAAAAGAAAAATCAAACCTGGACTAGAATGCGAAATAGAGAATGGCTCTACACTTTTCTCATTCTTTTCTACTGTGGGATGTTTCGAAAATTGGTCGGCCAATGTGAAAAGGATAATACCAACACTAATGAACATTACAGACAATAGCTTCCCCCACGAATAAATTCTATTCCTCAAGCAAAAATTCAGCAACACATTTGCCAGTAGTGTTCCCTGCACAACAGACCAATGTTAACCAAAAATACACCAGACATAACTTTTAAAAAGTTTTAGAGCATCATCAAAGATCCGCATAACTTGGAAGAGATACATATAAATCTAAAAAACAAGCTTTTTCATCCAAGTGATTGGGGACGAAAAACAACTACCGCAGAATCAAACTGCTTCAATCACGATAAAGACTTCGGTAAATATTACAGGATACTAGAATGTATGTAATGTATGTAGGCATCAAACATAAAGCTATACGTCTTCCAAAGGAAGTCTACAGTATCAGCCGTCAAAATCATACGCTTCTTATACACCTAAAACTTCACTAGGATATATTTCAAATCTGCCAAACAATATTTGCAATCAATAATGTTAAACTCGAGCTAGAAAACAAGTCATGGATGGAAACTTTTCCTTCCTATTCCTCATGGTTGCACTTCAATAAGTAATAATCAGTGATATTTGAGTAACTAACCGTATGAGGAAATAAAAACTCACCGAACGAAATATGATGAAAAGTGGTATAGAAACACCATAACGTAATGCGAAGTTGTTCGAAACACTCACCACAAAGAATACAAGAACAATACGTGCATAACCTCTAAAACTCTTCCAAGAATGAAGTTATGCTGCCGTGCAATTGGAAGTATACTGATGTACAAATAATAAACCAATATAGCATTACATAAGTCAGTGAACAGCCTTTCTTGTCTTCCTTTTTTTCCTCATCTCTCTTACATCACAAAGATTGTTCAGTCATTCGAAAAAATTTAAAGCTGGAAGCGATGAGATTTTTTCACTTAAATCAATGGATTAGACCGCTAATTATACTTATCATTTCATCATGAACAGTAAACAAAAAGTGGAAAAGTAACCGTAACAACGGTACTTTGCTCCGAGGTATCTGCATGAAATAATGCGACTGTTTTAAGAGGCCAATGAGCGATACGAAAATGAATGTTGAGCAAGTCATCAAGTTCATACATTCCGGATTACGTCTTAAAATATCTCTTTTCAAATTATGGAAGCATTTCTATGCAATTAAGTCATTTCGTTTTTCTCCTTTGTTTCTCATCATTTTGAGTTATTGTTTATAAAAAACTGTAGATAAAATAGAATACTTTGCAAGAACTTCAACAATAACCGTACAACCAATACATCCAGTTAAGATTCCTCCAATTGCAACCTCCGCCATGAACGATGTTGGTTTCTTTCTACTCTTCAATATTCTGCCACTAATTGAACAAATCGAAATTAATCGCAAACAATCACCATCCTAAAAGTCATCATTCATAATAAAACTAATAGTGGAATACTCACTTTTTTGACTTTGAACCAATGACTTCCAGGACTGAAGGCCAGATCACTAAGAAACGTCAGATGTGATTATATGCTAATTTCTCGAGTAATATGCAAATTTGCATGCTAATTCACTAACCTTATAAAACAAAATTCTTTGGAACTATCGTTATTTTCGTTAGTTACATGCTCGGTTGTTCACGCGGTATTGTCTTGGCGGTTTCCACTGCTCGTCATGTCGTAAAAAGGTGAGGAAGGGGTGATATATGCTTATAAAAAAAGTTTTCAAGGTTATTACGTAAACTTAGATATTTCTTAGGAATAAAATCCAATCAATGGAAATTGCAGATAGCAGTGTGAGTTTTTAGATCCCCTTTATTAACTCCCGAAAATTAGTGATGCTTCAGCCCACATAATTCAGCGGACGCTATTATAGGAGACCGTCCGCCCTCCTAATTCAGCGAACGTTACTATAGGGAACCGCTACAGTAAAAAACTATCAGTAAAACTAATAAAATTTGCAAACTGCTTTGTCCGGGCTTATTATATTAGCTCCGTAACACCGTGAAACAGAAGAGATCCAAAAATTACCTAGAAGACAAGTCTCGCCTGACTATCCACGTGCGATAGCTCTGAGAGATTGAAGACTTATTATTTTTAGCCATTCTCGATGACACCTGTCCGGCAAGGCAAGACCGCAGTATTCTGCGGTCTTTTCTATTTCTCTATGTCGCAGGTTCGTATCGCATTTCTTCTTTGAACATAACTGCATTTCCATTGAAATGTGGAGGATTTTATCAAAAAAAAATGGGTATCATCCAAAAATTTAAGAACATTGTAGAAGAAATTCGATGGAAGACGCAGTCTAACAAGCATTAAAATATATGATCGTATTAGTATAAATTTACACAAAATGTTCCTGACAGTTCAAGAATCTGAGTTATTGATGGCGGGAAGCTACTAATTTGTGACGATTCAGGCTGCTGAAAGGTATCAATTTTTTATCTGGCAATTATGTTTTGTGCTTTGTTTATCTCTGATGTTTTAGCACGCTTAATGGATGAACGTAGATCACACGGGGTGAACAAGGCTTCGACGTCAGCTATGTGTTCGTCATTAGGTGACTGCTCATTATCAACCAGTAAACGGAAGAAAATGAACGGTTCTATGTGTGATCCAGCCTATGATTTCTTTGCTGGTATCGATCTTATAAAGGTTATTATAGTTTTCCATTTCCAATGACTAATAAGCATTAATATACCATAATTTTTAAGGTAACGTAATTGTTATGCATCACTTTGTTTCGTAAATAATTCCAATTTCAGTACCTTCGATTTCACTTGAAACAAACCGATACAGAACAGAAAAATGCACTGCTCTTCGAAATATTGGTAAAAATGATTTTGATGTCATTGTTTTCTTTTTAGTTGCAAAACTTTTGTTTTAATTATTGACGTTAACCCTAACATATCTTCTTTTAACTGTTACGTTAATCCTAACATATTTTCTAGAATGTTTGTGATCCATCAAATTTGGAATATGCAACTTCATTGCTGGAAGAGATGCGCAGCAATGTGGGCACTGCGGAGATCGATTTGTTTAGTTCACTCCCTCTGCCAATTGCTTTAAAAATTTTTCGTCTTTTGGATCCAAGTGAGAATTTCATTATATTTTTACCACTATTATACCGAAAGTGTATTTGAAGAAATGTATCAAACGTTGGTTTTATGAGGAAAATAAGGCTCACATAATTATATAGAGTCCTGCAATAAAACTTTCATTGGGAAGAAGTTTCAGCGTGATTATCAGGACTGTTGGCTTGCGTAACATAATGCCTTTTTTGTTTTTTAAAGCCAAATCTACGACAGTAACCTCGGGGCATTTATCTCTACGCTGCGGGACTCTCAACGATGCCTGCTGTCCAGCTTTTGTTGACTATAGAAGCCAAATTTTTGGATTTATTCGCTTGCTTGGAGATTCTCTGATTTATTGCTGTCTGGTTAACAGTGCGCACAATTACCACATTTACATCACATTGTTATGTCGGATTGCGTATAACAGAAGAAAAATTCATGATAAATATTATCAGAAACTTTGTTGAACTTTAATTTTATTTCAGAGTCACTTTGCAAATGCATGTTGGTGTGTACTGCGTGGAGAAATTTATGTATGGCACCATGCTTATGGAAAAGACTGTGCACACTTCAGCGCAGGTTTCGGCTATGCTCGGCTGAAACTGAAAATGAACAACTGAAGAAGCACACAACGCACGATGGTGTAGTACTGTGGAAGGAAGCATTCAGTGAGCGTTATCGTTTATGGAGGAACTGGCATGCAGGTCGTTGTGTCATCCGTACATTTGAGGGTCATACTCAAGGTAATGACTCGTGTTATTCTCAGGATAATCCTTAGTTATGTTTTGCGCTGTTATTTTGATTGACATAGATTTACTATTTAGTGATTGATGGCTTTACGTTGGTAAAATTACTTGGTTTATCGGGTCATCTTAAAACGGTTATGGTATTTTGCTTATTCGTGCTAACTGGTAACTATTTTACTAATTGCTAACCGTTAAGCTGGTAAAGTATTGTAGCCGTATCATATTTCAGGCATATCTTGCGTTCAATTCGATGGTGACCGCATTGTGTCCGGAAGCAGCGATAATACAATTCGTGTTTGGGATATGAAGAGTTCTGCTATGTCAGGTCTAGGCACCATGACACTAACAGGTCATTCTGATACTGTTCGTTGTTTGCACTTGAGTGGTAATCGACTTGCGTCTGGCTCCAACGATTTAACCATCAAAGTTAGTTGACTCCATTAAACTTTATGGATGCTACTTCGAAAACTTCTATTTTTAAGCTCAGATCTGTTTTAAAGACCATCTTGTAAGTACACCAATATCTTTAAAAACTTATTATTGTTGTTAAATAGTTTAAGATATTCTCATTTTATATTGCATAACAACGATTAGGAATCAGGGGGTTTATTCTAGAGGAATAAATGCAATTCGGATGTTACTAATAAAGTAATTTTACCGAAATAACTTCCTTATAGTGAAAAAATCTTAAAGGTTTGGGGTCTTGCTGTAAATCGAACGTGGTCTTCCATTGCTTGTCGCCAAACAATGATCGGGCATACAAACTTCGTGCGATGTTTGCAGGTAATTTCTGCTGTTTTTTTTTTAAAGAATGTACTGTCTTTTTTTTATTGAAAACTAAGTTGTATATATTTTTTAATAATACCTTGGTTTTGAATATAAAATTGGGATAATTGTCTCATCAATGGCTTTCAAGGCGAATTTCGTTTAGATGGAGAAGGAACGATTGATCAGCGGTTCGTATGATCATACTTTGAAAATATGGTCCACCGAAACAGGGCAATGTACGAAGACTTTAATGTAAGCTTCACAAGAATCAAATCATTAAGAGGATCCGATCACCACATTTCCTAAGAAATCAAAAGAAGCTAATTGTACTGAACTCGCATACTTCTCCATGCTGTTCAATTTCATCGTTTATAAATATCTATTTTTCCCTCAATTTCTATGAAAATTGGGTTTGCTGAAGTTATTCATTTGATATCCTTGTAATGCACTTTTTTTAGGGGACATAATGGAGCAGTGATCTGTATGCAGTCCGACGGACATTTGCTTGTGTCGGGGTCAGCAGACCTATCAATGAAAGTTTGTTACTACTATTCGTATGTAGATGATTCTAAGAAAAGTGTTTGACAAATGAATGAAGACGCTTTGGAAAACCATTCTTTTTCTTCTGTTGCTTTTTTAGTATATCATCCTGGATAAAATTCACTTAAATTGTAAAGGCATTTGTTTAAGTGTTGGGATGAGCGAATGGATATCTGTGCGATGACTTTGCATAACGCACACGACAATGCTGTAACGTGTCTTCGATTCGATAATGAAAGAATTGTGTCAGGATCTGTCGATCGAACGATTAAAGTTAGATTTTCTTAATTTCTATGCATAAAATTGCTTCCATACTATTTAGTGCTCTAATGAAAGCTGATGACTGTCATCTCGTGCATGTTGAAACTTGCTTTTCAGCACAAAAATTTACAGTGAATTTTCCAAAAATTAGAAAGATTATTTTTTTTTTCTTCTATTTAAGGTGACAGGATACACAAGCTTAAATCTCTACTAACTAGAAACTCTGCAGATCATCTTGTTGTTCACAGTTTCTTAAACAAGAAGAATACAAAATGTTTGTTGGAATATTTGAATTCTTTTCGGAGTTGAGTTAAGAAGAATTTTATGAGCTTTAAGATGTGGGATCTACGGACTGGGAAGTGTGTACAAACATTGGATTGGAAATTAAGTGAAGGTCACACAGGTGTAGTTCGATGCCTCCAGGTCGATTCATGGAGGATCGTCTCCGCAGCAGATGACCGGACTATCAAGGTACATTCTCTGCTTCTTCACTGAAATTATTTTAATGATTTTAATGTTTTGCTTTATCCAAATTTCTGTGAAAATCGTATAAAATTTAGGTATGGAATTTACATACGGGTGAAAGATTATGTACTCTTCATAGCCATACGGACGGTGTTACATGCGTGCAATTCAGTGATCAACAAATTGTGTCGGGCTCTTATGACATGACTGTCAAGTTGTGGGATTTTGGTGTCTTTTGAAGACCTGATTCTTTTCTTGAAAAGCCTCACTTGGCGTGTACACTTCATTGTTGTTTGTATGATATTTTAATTTAGTTAAACGTTGACGTTCTTTGACTGAGTATATGTACTCTTCCAAAGGTAGGGATTATTTAATTACTGCCAAATTTAGTGAGTGGGTGGTTTGATGCGTGCTTTTTTCAGGAGATTTAAAGTTTTTCTGACTCATAATTTTTGAAAGTTGATTGTTATGAATTAGATTTGCAGGGAAATGAGGTGGAAGGAGAGAGTGCAATTGCTATAGTTTAGTATTAGGGAATATCTGATGATTGGGTTTGCCATGTGTTGGCAGTAGTGATTTTCATGATTGTTCTCGTGATTTCCCCAAGCTATGAGGAATTTCATTCAATTATGACGCATTTAATCATTGTTGAATTATTTAATAATCCCATAAATTTAAATGGTCAGTGTACATGTTTGCATTTTTTGTCGAATAGATCCGTACTGCTAAGTGAACTCACAGTGAGCTCAATGTATGTATTGCGAATATCTATTATTATTACTGTATAGAGTAGGAGGTATTATATAATAAATATTTTTGCATTGTTTCATTGTTGGTGAATCAGGTATTGGGTTTAACTCCTCATGTTATTACTTCTTTCTTTTTTTGGTTTTTGGTTTTTCTTTATTTTGGATTTGGTTTTTTTTAGGTCGCATATTGATATATTTTACTCCATTTTACTTCAGATTTAGATCTTCACTAGTGAGAAAATGTTTCCTGGAGTGGAATCCACTGTCTATAATCAAACAGCAAGCTCCTCAAGTGAAAGCGATTCTGAAAATGTGGAGAATGTTATTGAGAAACTTCCCTTCAACTTAGGTAAGTCCAAAAAGATTCAGTTGTCTTATTTCTAGCGGTATTTTTTGTTCAATATTTTATATTATTTGCTAAATATGTTTGATAGTTATTTAATATAAGTTCATCAATGTACAGATCATAATGCAGGCACACTTGTGTCACCTGTCATTATTAAGGTGATGCAGCCACGTAGCAATACGTAGCAATTTCGCGGTAACGCAACGTATTTTATAAATGGCATATATACTTCTTCGAAAAATAAGTTCCAATCTTCATATTTCACTGAGTTAAGGAATTCACAACAATTTTAGTGAATTTCAGCAATGTTTGATTTCAAGCAATGTGATCCGAAGCGATGTACAGCAAAAAAGCTCTTCCGCTACGGGTTTATTAAAATTTTAAAGCTGGGAAGCAAATTTCCTGGTTTGCTGCTTTCGCCGAATGGTGAACGAACAATTTCTGCTGCCGATCTCGCTTATATAAAAAACGGCGGCCTTGCTGTTGTAGATTGCAGTTGGAATGAGGTTTTCTGATTTTTGATCTTTATCTTGAGGTTTAGTTTCTCATTTCGCTTATAGTGAAATGAATTGAGAAGAATTTCGGCTTTAGAAAATATGGAATTAGATCTATACTTGGTTGCAAACTTTGTTGTTTTCTGTCATTTCAGGTCGCGAATATTCATTTAAGTAGAGCAAGAGCTTCGCATCGTCGTCTTTTGCCATATTTAATTGCTGCAAATCCCGTGAATTTTGGGAAGCCGTGCCAGCTGAGTTGTGTTGAAGCACTTGCAGCGGCTCTGTACATGATTGGTCTGAAGGACAATGCACAGTTGCTTCTTTCGAAATTCAAGTGGGGTCCGAATTTTTTGGAAGTAAATAGAGATTTACTGGATGCATATGCAGCGTGCAAAAATGGTGCAGAAGTTATAGTCCGACAAAATGCTTATATGCAACAACTTCAAAAAGAAGCAAATGAAATGAAGCAGCGACCAATTGACATGCCAGAATCGGATCCCGAAACTGATAATGACAATAGTGGTAAAGCTAATGACGATACTAGTCAAATTGATAATGACTACATTGGTGAAAATGGTGACAGCAACTTTAATTAAAACTGTGTGATGAAATTAATCTTCCTCTATTTATAATAAAGTCTATATGATTTCACTGGTAGATATGTACAATTGTTTTTGTAGCCAAAATTTTTTTAGCCGTGATCAAATTTTCGGAATACTTTTCCATCGCCGTTAGCACAGAATACAGAAGATGCCTATCGAATTTTAAGAAAACATAAAGTACATCAAAGATTCCATTCTTTTTTGAGTAATGATTGTTCATTTGACGAAGGAAGCAGGAAAACAAATTTTGGTTCACTTGTTTAATCAAGTTTTCTAATTCTTTTGTAATTTTGCCAGCATGCACAAACGTACATTTTTTCACGTTTCAAAAGGCGTTTGTAACTTCTTGTTCCTGGCGCGCAGTATGTCGTCCGAATAGAGTTTTGAAAAAGACGAGTGAGATATGGTGCATTTTGAAACATTGCATCGTATCTTGCTGCTGTTGATTCAATAGCTTGCAACACTTGTTCTGTGATATCGTCTGTCCTAATCAGGTGTAGGCCGGATTTTTGTGCTTGAATCATAGTCATTTTCAACTGAAAATAAGATTTAAGAATTGAAATCCATAATATAATATAAGATTAGCTTGGTACCTGATGAGTATAGCGAAGATCAGCCCAACACAAAAATCCTTTCTCACATAAAACTCTGGAACATTCCAGGAAAAACTGTTGACAACTGTCGTACAAATGGCTGCTTTCGATATTTATTATGATGTCAAATGAATCATTGACAAATGGCAATTTTTCCGCATTTCCTGTAACAATTCTTCCAGAACATGAATCCACAGTGACCGGGTCAACTCCATTCACAACTGCGAATGAATGCGATCTGCAATTAATTTTTACTAGATTTGTTTGATTAATTTCTGAATATCTGTTCACTGCTTGTCATCTACCTTATCTCTTTTGGAATCAATGGTGTAACGCATGCGTCAATTGCAAACGTTCTTGCAGGCTTTAGTTATGAAGGCCTCGGAGTATATTTTTTTTCTCTTCCGATTACGGTTATTCTTACTTTTGTTGAGATGTTTATAATTTAGAAGAAAACGTAATTCCGTACATAATTTCTTTGTACATATTTTTTCTTTTTTTTGCAGGTTTTCAAATAAATTACGAATTTCACTCAATCAACCTTAAAATCCATTCGATGCCACCACCTTGGCCGCAACCAACTTCAAGCAATCGTAATCCGGCAAAATTAGGATATTTCGGGCATAGGCTTAATGCTTTTTCATAAAGTGCAATATTGGCTATGCAGCAGTTGTCCATTTCGGATAATTTTTGCAGGACTGGATATTCTTCATCTTTCTTGCACTGGTATCCGAGATTCATGAATCGTATACTAATCTTATCACTCAGCAGGCTTAGTAGTGGATATAATATTAACCGATCGAACAAGAAATAATAGAGGCGATGTAAAATATCCGTTAAATAACCAATCATTAGTACGCCACTTCTAAAATGCATTTCAGATGCAATAAATTTATATTTCTTTATATTTCAACAAATCAATTTTTTTAATATTTGATTTGAGAATTAAGCATGGATTCAAGAGAAAAATTTTTGCATTCATTTGAGAAATATGCAATTGAGAAAAAAAAATTATTTGCTATGAAATTCAATTTCATCATCTTGCCACGATTTAAAGATAACAGAGCTGTACTGATATGCACAATTGCAATTTCAAATAAGCGAATAATAATTACTTTTATCAACTACATAAGATCAATTTGTTGAAAGGAATGAACTTTTACTAAGCAAAAGATTCAACAGTGATATTATGGGTCACAATCGAATAATTATAGCCAAGAATGTCTATCCTAGTATAATATGCCGTATGGTAAAATACTGTTAGTAATTGTAGAAGTTTAAAGCAAGATCAAACTGTATCACTTGTAAACTGATCATAGACAAGGGTGATAAAACGAATCTCCAACCATAAATGATTGATAACATCAGAATAAAATTAATATGAAAATTATATCGAGGGCGGAGAGATAACAAAAAGTTATGCATGAGTACTCTCAAATGTCTGAAGTCTTCTTTGTTAGGAATAAAATTAGCTGATATTATTTCAATTTATATCAGAATATATTCCATCACGCGTTTTCTTGAAATAAACAAATGCTCCGCGTAAAATTAAAGAAAAGGAAAGAGCACATAAAATAGGCTAATAGCCTTTCCTATCTTCATCCTTAAACTGTAAAGATACTTTTCATTTTATTAATGAGAAGCGAACATTGGATGATAGGTTGAGTAAAACATTAAGTGGAATAAATGAAACGAAATAATGCCGTGCAAATATAATATAAAATTCAAACTATACTTCTTATATCTTAGATAGTAAAATAAAATTAACATAAGGAATTGACGAAAAAAAGGCTAAAAAATTTTTTCATCTTTCAAATTAAAACAATTTAAAAATGCTTGCAAGAAATACAAATTAGAAATTCAACAACAAATGAAAGACGAAACTGATTATTCATTAAAGAATTAATAAGAAATATTTCCATTCGAAAAAGTCTAAAATTTACTTATTAGATTAGTTGCATTCATTCTCAATGCAATTCTTTCAATGAAATCATTTCATTACTAATTGTGAAGACTAATTATAAGCCTTAGTTATATAACAGAAATGAATTAATGAAAGTTAAAAAAAGATGCATACAATAGAAATATACAAAAATATTTTGATATACCAAAAAGCGAAGTGGAAAAAAAGAATGAAGAAACTAAGTAATGACAGCCATAACGAAAGAAAAAAGATAATTAGTCAATATTTATAAATATGGAAGATTTAAGCAGAAATAAAGAGATAGGCCAGAAATTGAAATTTTATGGAAAGCAACAATTTGAAATGACAAAATAAGATGGTAACTTTCAACTAATAGAAATGGTAAACAATCGAAGTGAAAAGAAGTAAACAAAATCTTAGTGTAAGTTAGATAAATTATATCGTAAATTTCATTGTCTTCTAAAATAAGACTTAATTAAAAACTGGTATGTTTACTTAATGAAATATAAATAACAACAACAAAAAAAAGAAATGTTACATTTGATATTATTTATAATCCATTCAAAAATAACGAATAAAATGCATGCCTTTATTTTATTTTTAACATGACTGTATCAGACATAGTTGTTTACATTTGCGCTTCATGAATGTATCCGATGAAGAGGTTTATTATTCTAACAAAAGATTTGTAGTTTGAAAAACTATACACTTCTATCTGATGATGTTAACTATTAGTGAATGAATTGCTATTTTTATATTTTAAAATTCATATAGATTTGCTAGATTTTTTCCATATTGATTTTTTCCACTTTTCCATATTGAAAAGTAAATTCTAATTAGTCGCTATTTGAATCATTTCTTGCCACATCGAATATTCGGAGATCAATTTTCATGATAGCTGGCAATATTTTATAATGATAGGTATTTTAATTTCATAAGACATCAAATTTCTACAATTCTCACGAAATTAAATTAAGTTATAGAAACATGATTGCATTAGCTTTCCTATCCGAAATGAATGCTCTTAATTATATCGAATACAAATATGAATAAATAAGTTATTAAAATTTTGCAAATACAATCATAAATTCATAACTGTTCAAATAAGTTCTAATCATTCTATTTGTAAAAAAGTCTCGGGAAATATTTGAAAAAATTTTCGATGCGAACCTCGAAATAGCTTAAGATGAGAGCTATCGTTTACCAAAAGCATTATTATCTAAGAAGATGAAGAAGATTTCACATAGAGCTATTATCGATCTTAAGAACATATGGACGGATAAGTAATAGGATAAGCTTCAACAACTGGCAAAAGCTATTATTACTCCATCTATAGGTTAAAAAAATTGGTGCAAAAAGGTATGAACAAATTTTTGGATAGCGCTTATCAAAACATAACACGCAGTTGGCTCATTTAAATATATTGGACAAGAAGCTGTCAGTAATAAGTATTCAATTGTTTGCTTATTTTTCATTTCTAATTGAATAATTTTTGATTGATTAAACATTTATTGTTTCATTATAAAAGTTTCGTAAAGATCTTAACACTTTCTTTTTTCCTTCCAAATATGATAAATGATTACATACATTGGATTATTTCTGATAAAGATATAAAAAAAGAAAGTAAAATAAATTTCTCATTTTAAATTTTATTGCATAATTTTCATTGCATCAATTTTGTTTAACAAAAACAAATTTAATTAGTAATCAATATTAGTGACTTTTTGTTTCAGAATAAATTGGTTTAAAATTTGCACGATCGGCTATCGTTAAGGGATAACGTTTTTGCAAATTGTCTCCGTCAATGAAAGTTGCACGCTTCTTTTTCAAAACATGTTTTTTTTTTTTAAAAATTGTAAACGAGGAAGAGAGGGGGAGAAGAGCGAGGGAGAGGGGTTGTTTCGTACCATCTTTAATTGATTTTCCTTCCAGTTTTATTTATTTAACTCTTTTTTCCCCCAAGCAGTCTTTTAATATATTATATGCCATTAATGTACTACGATATATACCATTAATGTACTAGGATATATACCATTAATGTACTAAGAGAAATCTGCACATTTAGTACAATAAAAACCAACTTCTTTCACGTGAAATTTGTTTCAGTATTTGTCGGCTTCTAAACAGATTTAAAAACGAAGAATGCGTATCATCGTTTGAGAATTTGAAAATCTGGAGTTCGAAATGGAGCAGCAATTGGAATTGTCGTTTAGTTGCAGGTTCTGTGAATTTACATTCCTCCAAATATATCTGAATTTATACCGTATAAATATATTATGGAGCGTAAGATGTAGTTGAAATGGGTTGATTACTTGAAAGTATTGTTGTAAAGGTTGTCAGTGCCGACCTTTGCACTTTGACCTCTTTAATCACGCTGTTCTTACATTAATATCCACTTATTACGCGCTCATTCCTTATGGCATCTACATACCTTTTATATAGCCATATTCTACCTTCATTCATCAAAATTTTTAAATATTTAGTGCACTTCCCATAGAAGCTATCTCAGGTGTTCGGATTACCGTTTCTTTATGCTCCAGCAACAAAGAGAATTTTCTTGAGGTCGAATTTCTTTTCTTTTTCAGTTCATTCTTTTAAAGTGGTTCACAAATTAAATTCTGTCAGAAATCCATTTTCTCTATTGCCGTTGGCTTAACCGTCCGGTAGGATTGATTGGAATGATGATTATTCGAGAGCTCTTTTACGTGTTATGTTTACCTCTCTGTACCATCAAAAATCTTTACTAAATGTGTAGATAGTATTGAACAATTCCTTTTTTGGTGATGTTCCTTGAACTTCACTTGATAAATGAATGTTAATACTTTGATTTTTGATCAGATCGGCCAAACAGAAACAATTATTGGCAACATTAATCCGGTTTTCAGTCGTCGCTGTTACGTCTCATACTGCTTTGAAAGTTCTCAGAAACTTCAATGTGTTATGTTAGTTTTATATACTATTGGAATCTTGGTTTTTATTGAATCCTTATATATTTTGGCAAGGAGTAATTCATTCTTAAAAAATGCCGTCAACTGTTTTATTTTTGTAGAAATCAAGTTGATGGAAATAGTGAAAGGTTCACTGGTGTGATTGCAAGGGTGGAATGTGTATTAGGCGAAGTGCTATCACGTGGCGGTTCCATCGAGTTGCCACTGTTTCCAAACAAAGGTACAAATAAAATGAACTTTTCTTCAAGTGATGGAAGGAATATTTTTTAGAAAGATTTGTAAAGAAGTCTTGGATTTCGGAATGATTTTGAAATGTGATTCATGAGTGTGATTTTTAAAGGAGTAAAATAGTCATATTCACATTGCATGATAATTCAGTGAAATAACAATTATCCTGCATTTAAGATGCCGGGATTTGTTGATTCCTAGTAACGGTAATTTAAGTTCTCTCAAATTGCTATTACAGGAATATCGTTTTTGCGCTTGGAAGTATGTGAGACAAAACTGTCAGGTCAAGCTGTTCGTTTGCAGTTTAAAGGTCATAGTTTACATGCACCATCAAGTGATTGTCCGTTGGATGCCTATTTTATGATGTATTTGGTTCCGGAAGGTGCACCAAAATTACTATTGCACAAAAGTGAAGCGGTTGCCGAGAAAAACCCTATATGGAATACCTTCCTCGTCCCTGTTTCTCACTTTTCATTTGCGTCCGTCAGCTGCTCGATTGAAATTGATGTTTATAACTACAATGTTAATCGCGAGTATGTTTCTGCCGCCAGACTGAATAATTATAAAATAAATGTTAAAGATATTGTTAAGTGCTTATGTAGAAGTAGAAGTATTCTAATCTTTTTATAGAACAGGTTTAATTTCCTTAGTGGTAATCCCTAAATAATCTGGTCTTCGTGTTAGTAGAAAAACCGTGTCATTTCTCACCAAGAGTGAGTCACCATCACTCGTGGTATCTATGAAAACTTTTTTAATTATTTGGTATTCTAAAGAGACTTTTATTTATGCATGCCTAATGCGTCGTTAAAAACTGTGAAAAATGTGCTCTGAAAGATTTTTATTTCAGGGACAAGCTCATAGGCAAATGTACGACATCATTTGACCAACTTTTAAGAGGAGTTGGCGCCTTAAACGCATACAAAGTATTCCATTTGCCGTATTTTATGAAGTATGATGCAAATTTATGTTGCTTCGTAATTCATTCATAAAGGCCATACGAAGCTTTTACAGTTATCAACTCTCGAGGGCAGAAAGAAAGGAAATGCTTCAGTGGAATTGGTGAACATTCTCCAAGTTGCATCGTCTTCATTCATTGATTATCTTAAAGCAGGGTAAATCCGTCCATTTTGTACTACTTTTTCATTTGTGTATGATATTTTTGGTACCACATGTAATGCAAAATTTTTGGTAATATGTATAATTGGCAGCAGCTTTCGTCATTGTGTATTATAAAAAACGTGTTTTCCAGAACGCAGATTCACTTCTCGGTAGCTGTGGATTTTACGGCTTCAAACGGGAATCCACTTGATGCATCATCACTACACTACATTCATCCACACAAGTTGTTTTTCTATTTTGGGTTTTATTTCAATTTACCAAATGATTTCAATTCATCATCAGATAACTAATAATATAATTTGATGTTTATGTTATGGTGCACATTCCAGATTATAGGAAGGTTACTCACAACAATGAATAGAACACACAATAGAGAAGTCATCATTTGACAGTGAAACCTAAAGTAGTTAAAGCTCGTGTTCTAGATTTAACCCGTATATGACAGCACTAAATGCAGTTACATCGGTAATTGGAAAATATAATAGACATGGACGAATTGCTGCACTTGGTTTCGGAGCACAAACACCTCCTGATTATAAAGTTTCACATCTCTTTTTCCTGGTATTTTTGTGTTAATTTTATTATTTCTCTTTTTTCTCCCATTTCTTTGCTTATTTGACTATTTGGTTTTTGGTTCGTGAAATTGTAGAATGGTGATGCCAAAGATCCGCATGTTAATGGTATTGATGGTGTACTGAACGCATATCGTTCTGCTTTACTCTCTGTACGACCATATGCGCCAACGGATTACTCCGAAGTCATATATCATACTTACAAGTGAGTCATTTCACCTTACTATTTCCAGGAATTATGTCTCAAAACATTATAAACAATGCGCGCTCAAAATGCCGTTAAAACAATGATTTTATTGATACTAATTTTGCTATTGCTTCTTCATATCATGATTTTTAATTAGGTTTGGAGCAGCAGTTCAACGTCAAGGAAGGAGTGATAATTATTTTGTGTTACTCATTGTGACAGATGGATGTGTGACAAATCCGGAGAGAACAGTGAATGCAATTGTGGACTGTGCGGAATTACCCATATCGATTGTTATTGTTGGTGTTGGTAACCAAGATTTTTCCCCAATGCAACGCCTGCTTTCCCCGACACTTAAATCTTCTGAGGGCCGTCTACTGCGCCGTGAAATTGTTACTTTTGTGCCTTACACTGCTTCTATGACCAGTAATGATCTTGTAACAAAATTATTACTAAATGTGCCCCGGCAGTTTCTTACCTGGGCCATGATGCATGGTAGGTTCGCACCGTCGAGATAACATTTTATCAAATTTTATTTAATCAGAAATATCGAATATAATTTGTGTTATTGTTACAGACATCCATCCCTACAAATCGTACATTACCAAACCTTTTCTTCTTATTACTACAATTTTTTTTGTAGTTTATTAGATTGGATATCTATTTTTATATAGTGTATTTTCTGATATTTGTAGCTGGTCATAGTTAAATAATGATTTTTGAATTAACCCTCCAACACAGACATTCCTCAGCAAGCTGTATTCTGCTTCCCTGTAATATTTCTGTTGATGAAAATAGTTCGTCCTCTTTCTCAACCATGCATTTTAATGGTTTTTCATTCAACATTATTTTTGATTAGAATGATTAAGTAGTCATCATCAGAAGTTACTTTTTTGAAGGTTTCACAGAAATCATTGCTAATTATGCTAAATTTCGTAGTTCTTATAATGCACTAATTTGAAAATATATCTGTTAGCTTTCCGGTTACGTACATCTTCGTGCGATGCGATATTTTTGTTCAGCGATGCAGAGAGTTTGAGTATTTGGCCAGGTGTATATAAACATATATATATATATATATTATTTCGATATTAAACCGATAACCGTATTTGTCGTAGTTATAATTACCGTTTATACGTCGCTGTAAGCTACTGACTATGAGTTTCTTAAATATAACAATTGTAAGTTTTCTACTTTAGATTAGAGTTTTGTAATAAAAAATTAATACAAATAGTTGGTTGTTTCATCTAAACTGTGAGCTGGAGGTAAATCGAGATCTACTGTTGGTGGCGGCAAGTAAGATCGAGTTATTACTGACGGCACTCCACTTCCTGAAAAAGTAATGTTTTATCAGGTTTCAAATTCAATATTTTATCATTTATTTTCAAGCTAAGGGATTTTCTATCCTACGCCATTTTTTTGAATGTAAAAAGGTTTTGATTGAACCTGTTATTGACATAACTCTCTGTTCATCTTCCAGCGCTTCCTGATCTTTCATTTTCTTCCTTCGATGCGATATTCCATAACGAACTAATGACATCAAACATATACTGATCAATAAAATTGTCATTATGATAGCTGCAAAATATACGAAATTTGGTTTTGGAATATGTTTTCGCTCCTCAAGTCTTAAGACCTATATCTTTCCTAATGTTAATTACTTCGAGGAGATATAGGTTTTAAGACTTGAGAATTAGATTTTGCATTGTTTCTCGAATGCGATGTAGTGCACTATCTGCAATATAACAGAACAGCAGCTAATAATAATAATAATAATCATTTTAATCAGAAGCAGGTATCCAGAATTAAAGAGATATATTGCTGTGATCGTGTTTCCTGTAATAGAGATTCCTAAATAAGTTTCAGAAGTACCAACCTAAGACAATCCAACCAACGAGTGACAGTGCATTGCCGGTTAGTGGGAGAGGTATGTCGTTAGCAGGGCAGTAATCCATAGCTCGTAACGGAGTACCAACTGAAGGACAGCCGTTAACACTGTCAACACAAGCAGCAACGCATCCAGGTTTATCGACGTCAATGTCAACATTTTCGCGGAGGTAAGTCCGAAACCACTCCAGAGCTGAATTGCACAACCACGGATTGCCACACACGTACATGACACGCCGTTCATTTGGATCCGGTAAAAATGAATTTGCAAACGTGCTGTCTGGTAACGTTTGGAGCTGATTAAAACTAAAATCAACTGCTCTGATGACTGAAAAAGCGGACGGGGCGTTTCGGTTACTGTTTTTACAAGTTAATTAAATGTTTCGAGAAGCTCATGTCCATTCAAATTTTTACTACTAATCTGGTCCGGATATGAAATTTGGAGCAACTCTTTGATTAATTCCTGAACTTCCATAATGTCTATGCAGTCACAGGTTAAAAATTCGGAAGATCATAGAGAAAAACCTGATATCGAGATGATTCATTTGTGGGAGATTTGCGAAAGCGAATGGTTCAGAGGTATCAATGCGATTTCCGCCTAAATTCACGGAATACAAATGATCCAGACCTTTAAAGTAGTCGGAACGTATCCTGGAAAAAGGAAGCAATTCTGTGGTTCAAATTCTTCAGCAACTTCATTCAATAACATTGAACTGAATTTTGGGTACTCACCTAGGAGCCGAAATTAAATAGCGTGTAAGATCAAAAAGTTTTAGGAGATATGAGGTGGCATAACGCTTCATTATCAAAATAATCATCATTGTTGTTAAGGGAAGATTGGTTCAAGGATGAATGTGTAAATCTTTACTTCTTAATTCTAATCTTATCTTTCAAAGAATTGAATATTTAATTTTCCGTCAGTTTATACAAAAGCTAGAAAGCTCCAACTTACACGGAAAGACGGTTTTTATTCAAAATAATTGCTTGAATATTTGGCGTTCTCTGGAAAACACCTCGCTCAATTGTATCAACAGCTGCTTCGGACATTTCCAAACGTATTAACTTGGATATATACTGCAATAAATTTGTATTTTATGCTTTGAATATAAATTCTGATAATGATTAGTTTTTAAGTTACCGAATAATTTAATTTGATAAAAATAACCAATTTGAATAATCGTAGTTCATTTCGAATTTCATTGTGATATATGGTTAGTATTTCTAAGTTTAGGAAAATTATTTCTTAATTGCTGACAGCGGCAGATATAAAAATAATTGCTTGAAAAATGGGACGGTACGAGTCAGTAGAAAGGAACTGAAATAACTAAAAAATGTAAATTGGGTGCAAAATTGATGAAACAAATGTGAATGTATTTTGATCTTATTGGAACAATTGCATATTAACCGTCATAACTGCATAATTATGAAAATAATGAATGACCCAAGTAAAATGGGGACAAGTATAATTTAAAAGAAAAGAAAATAAAAGCAAAGTATTAAAAAAACAGTAATTGACAGAATATAACAGGAACAGAAATGAAAGCAAAATGAACTGAGTATAGTTAATACTACCAAATTACAAACATAAAACTGATAGCTAGATCCGTTGTCATTACCTGGAAAGCGTTTGATGGTATCACGGTGATTGGGGTTTCACCAATGCCTAGAGTCAGCAGTTGCGGAACGAATGTGAACATTTCAGGTTGCCAGGAAGAAAATTTGTTACCCGTAAGATACAAATGTTGCAGATTTGGAATTCCTTGAAATGCTTGCGGAATGATTTGTGAAATGCCGTTGAATTCGAGCGAAAGTGAATTGAGATTTGGGAAATCTAACGTTCCAACAGGTACTTCGTTAATTTGATTTAAACCTAAATTTAGGTTAGTTAGTGTTTGTCGTTGATTAACTAACGAAGCAGATGGAATGACATTTAATGCGTTAGTTTCCAGACTTAGCTGTTGTAAAGAACGTAATGGTCTGAAAACAGGTGAATCATCAAGATTTTGATCCGTGAGTCGATTCCCGGCCAGTTCTAGTTTCTGCAGTATATCTCGTGATTCATAGTTTATGAATGAACTGGACTGCAACTGACTGATGCGGTTACGATTTAGAGACAGTTTCCTGAGGTTTGTCAAACGTGGAACACCAGCCATGGGTATTACACCAAGCTGATTATCAGAAAGATCTAAATCGGCTAGCTTATCAAGACTTGCTCCAACAAATGCATTATCATCTATTTGATTCAGATTGCAGCGATTCAGCACCAATCGTGAAATAGTAAAATCTTGAAATATATAGGCTGGAAGAGTTGGAATTATGGTATCCGTTATATGAAGAACAGCTATCTGAAATAATATTATCCATTGAATTATTTTGAATTATGATTAAGTTTTGAAGCTAAAAAAATGTTAATATTTCTCATAAACGAATATAATCTTTTGTAATTGATAAAAAAAAATGTAGGAGTTAAAATTTTAATAAAACTAATGAGTTTTCAAGATCTTAAAAGAATTTTCAGGAACATTATGATATATCAAAATAGAAAACTAATTGATAGTCGTTTTTTATCTCATTCAAAGAATGAATTCCAAAGAATTTTGTCATTCCAAAATTATAAATATATGGTAAAAAATAGTGTAAATAAACAACAACATACTGTAACACTCCGTGCTTCCGCTATGGCAGTTAATATATCAGATAAAGTGGATGCATTTTCACAAATAATAGCAACAGCTTCATGAATAGACGGTGCACAACGGCATGGTGGTTGAAGTGGTGGACATTGCGTTAGCGAAAATATTGGAAAAGTATTTAAAAAATATAAAATCATAAAGTGCCGTAGTTGATAGCAGTAGTTATGAAGATGTGAAGAATACATGTTTCTTTATAGTTACTGTAATATTTATAATATTAATAGAAATAATAATAGTGGCAGCAAAATGAAGATGAAATTATATGCAAAAGAGATAGGTGATGAAATTGATGATCTTCGGGAAAGGAGATCAGAGCGATTTGATGATGATGGATGACAATGCTTCGTACAATTTATCTATCAATCGAATCCATTAAAATGTAAAAGCAAGCAAAAAGGAATGGTAAGCTAAACTGTCCCTAACACTCTCTTCACTTACCACGAAATATGATGTATAATATCGTTCTGATGTTGACAGTGGTGGACAAACATAACGAAAAGGCAGAAAACCTGCTATAGTACAATATAAACTACTTCCACGATACTCTACATCATTTTCCACCTCTCTTCTCTACTTCATCTGAAAAAATCTCGAGGGATTGCACACACATATATATGTACATATTTTAAAAGAGCTACAAAGTAAACAGATAGTTTAATTCAATACGCATATATAAAAGATTCTTAACTAGCCATGAGTGTAGGTGCTTTACATCAACATTTGCACCGAGATTTACTACTGTGTGCGAAATTCGATGAAATAGTGCTTCTGTGATTACTCTCGTTTGTTAATTATTTGATTACAATGCGAATAATTCTCCCAAATCCAATTTGTAACAATTCCAAGATTCGAAAAGCTTGCATTTGTTTATTGCTATGAAGTAACCATAACTACACGCCATGTATTCATCAAATTAAAACTTTCGAAATCTATCCGTAATTCTCGAAGTTATTGTTCCATTGACGTTCACGATTGCTTTTATCAGTAGAGCGGAAAAACACAATAGTACTGTACTCAACACTTCAAACTATTTTTCGAAATTTTATTTTCTTGCAAACTTTTTTTCTCTTACAGATATTTTATTCTGGCTTTTTTCTTGCCAAATCAGCAACTTGAACCCTTACACCAAATATTTCTATGTTTGAAAACAGTGGACGAAACCGAATGAAAACAGAGTAATCATTTTTGAAAACTTTAAGCAGTCAGATTTTGCTGATACGACGAATTTTGTTCTCTTAATTAAGTGCACTATTCGTACCGTAGATGAAATGATCGTACTGTTTGTTTAGCCAAGCCGAACATCCAAAACCTATATGCTGAAAGCTAATCAAAAATATCAGTTGCAAATTCCACAGCTGGAAAATCCATGAATGTTCACTTCCGTAATAAAAACAAATGTGTCACCTTACTCGAAGATTAACATAATAGATTCCTAAGCTACATACTAAAAAATTTTATGGATTCAACGATAATTCTCAAGTACAGGGTTAAAAAACCGCTCTCTTTCTAAACCTATCAGTAATCTGCTTTGTTCAAGATGATATTGCGATGCATTTCATAAATTTCTATTAAATGCACCAACGAAATCTCTCGCGAATTCTTCATATTTCTCTAATCAAATATTTGTACATTCTTAATTCAAAATGAATGAAAAGTGATGATTCAGCCATAAATTTCCGCAATCTTTTTTCCTGCTGAGTTACATTTCGGGATTTAAGAAAAAGATTTTTTTAAATTATGCCAGAAAATTGAAAAGCAACAAAAATGACACTGTTTTAAAGCAATACAAGTTGAGATAATAATAAACCTACATGTAATCAGCGTAAATGAATGAACTAATCCCAGTAAAAACCATTGCTTCTAGGCTTCAAAATGAAGATTTTACAGCGGACGAAATTACGTCCGAAGATATGTGTAATGAGATTTGAAAAAGATTTTGTTGCCAAGGATTGGTAATGATAGAATCTTAATAAATTGAGTTCAACGATTGTTACCTTCACAACGCTTCCAAAAAATGGAATTGAAAGAAAGCAAGGTGATAACAAAGCGATTCGAACAATCGAATGTAACAAAATAGCAGATTTTCATGATTTCCAAAAAAACCAGGGATAAACAATGTAAAAACTTTGATATGAAAAATGAACCGTAAGAAGTACAGAAAATCAGTTATAGAAAAAAGGGAGTCTTATGGTAAAGCAAAAAAGGTACTCCCATTGCAAGCCAGAACTTCTGCATATAAACGATGAAAAAGGCTAATAATTTTTAGAAGTGCCTCCATCACTCCATTTCCTTGTCCAAATCCCTCAACATTTTCTAATGGAAATGCTTCTAATGTTGACTGGTGCAGAAATTAAAATTTCAGAACACAAAAAGCATGAAGCATAAGTGGTTAATCGGAACAAATACTGTCTGCTGAAGATGAACTGAAATTGAAAACATAAAATTAAAATGCATAAAACAGTTGGCTATGAAAACATATGTCTAAAATATATGACAATGATCTTTTGAAATTAGTAACAAAAAGTTAAGATAGAATGTTATTTAATGCACAATATGAGCATCTCCTTGCATCGCCAGACCGGTAAATTTCAATAACACTTAAATCTGTCCCGGATGAATGGAATTAGGGGATGTACAGCAGTAAAAATATCATATAATATTGGAAGTACTCAACTGTTTAATATAAGTTACATTATTCACTGGATTACATAAAGCACAAATCAATTTTTCGAAGAAATATTCTTGCATTAAAAACAATGCAAACATTTTGGAGGAAACTAGGAACTGTGCCAGTCAAAACTTACCTTGCAAAATCAACTGCCATAGGAACAAAACGTTAATAAAAATGAATAAGAATAGCCCAGTGGTCACTAGGGAAGCAAAGTGAGGAACGAATTCTGTTCTGCCCTTCAAGCGAAAAATTCACTCTCGAGAAGACATCAGCACTAGAACAGAAAAGAGTGTACAATTCAGCATTAGAATAAAAAAAGCATACTTCTCAGAATTATAAGATCTAGCTAAGCATTAATACTTGATCTCATGCTTCCAAAATATCGTGCAGATTAACGACTGCTTATAAAAATTTAAGTAACTTCTTGGTTAGTGTTGATGAAAAATTTTTCAGCTCTAGCAAAGAATACCACAGCTAAATTATGTGTAAAACAAGGCTTAAAAAGATATTTGATGTTGATAAAACATCATCTTTGATGACAGCTAAAAGCCGCAACACACCTTTTATAGATAATACGATCAAAACGGCATCGGGCGTTTCCAGCAGTTTTATTGTCATTCAGTAAAGTATCCCAAGTAAATTTGAATTTTCTTTTCGATCCTGCAGCAATCCATGCATCTTCAAATCCAGGGGGAAGTTCGCCAATCTATATTTTAAAAGATAATGAATAAAGAGAAATGCTAAAAAATTCATTTGATATATAGAGGATATTTGAGCTATTCTAAGCTTCTTCGACCAAAACGCAAAAAAAAGCCCGAAGATGAAATGGGAAAATCCTTTCACTTCCCGACATTGATACTTCCAAATGACACAAAGCAGGATATATCAAAACTATAAAAGCATCTAGTACAGATTTCTCTCAAAGCAATACATATTCGGATAAACGCAAAATCCCTAACCTCATTATTACGAACATTAAGATCACCTCCAAAAACGATAATAGTTTTGCCATCATCCCATTCAATCAGCTGTTCGAAACATTCTTGAATTTGTGTGAGTCTTATGTCAGAGTGCTCCTTCATACTTTCAAGATGTGTATTTAGCAGCATTATTTTGCGACCATGTAACGAAGTCTGAAAAAAAAAACAGCGTATTACAACACTAAAAAACGCAAACAGCGGTAATTATCGCTCAATAAAGAATGTAATATGGATTATAAGCACTGTTAATCATTTTCACCGTATTTATAAGCTATAAGAAAGAAGAAAAGATGGTTCTACATTCAGGGAAACAGGTACAGCAGGAATAGAGAAAAAGCTAAAAAAAGATCCATGAAGACCAGTAAGTTAAGTGAACCAAGAAATTTATTGTAATCAATCTTCATTTCCAAAGAGATAGCATAAATTCAAAGCTGTATCGACCTCCACAAGCTGCATTGATCGACCCATTCCTGAACGTCTATATGGGATTGCTTTATGCGAGATCAACTCGATGAATGGCTTTAGGAGAACGACCGTAAAATATGGCAAATTTGGAGTTGCAACCAAGATGCTATATTCACCACTCAAATTCTTCCTGATTTGCGAAACCAAATCTGATGTCATTTCTTGTAGGAAAACCACATCAGAAGAAACCCTTAATTTCAAAAACATTAATCAACGAGAATTACAATATGCATGTATACTTATAACTTATTTAATAACAAAGCTAATGTTTTTTGAGTCGCATAGAGAGATGAAAATAATGAAATCATTCAGTCATTTAGACATCTTTCGCGGTAGCAACTCGACTGAAAACTGAAAAAACTGGTCATGGCTGTGCAATTCCAATGAAGCCGATTCTTGACCTAATCGATTATTAACCTATCAAAATATGTCATAGATGTTTCCGTTTGCACAGAGCTTCCAGCAGAACATCCAAATCTTCTTTATCATCATGGTAAATAGTCAGATTGGATCCCACGCAAAGAATAGAAATACAGTTATAAAAAAGATGTCAATACCACAAACTTTGAAATTATGTAGCAAACTGCAGTAAAACGAATAGCAAGATTGCTTTCATCAAGACCATCAATGTTCCATGACATGACAGTGAGCGAGAAATCATCACTTGGTTTACTTGTAACACAGTTAGGTAATGCTTTCGTTGAATTAGTTCCTCCTTCGGCTTCCAGCGTATGCGAAAAGAAACGATCCAGTGCAGGCTAAAGCAATAAGAAATCGAGTGGTTGGTAAACAAAATATGTCTGCTTAATGAAGCTAATTGTAGAATTCTAAGATTCAGTGGACGTAAATACTAATAGGAAGGACAAACTTGAAAATACGCTTTAGTGTGATGCAATATTATCCATTCCTTCCTCTTCCTAAATGACGACAGATACTTGCCTGCAACTGCCAGTTAAAATCCTGCAAAAAGAAATGCGCGCAAGCTTCATCCGTTTTGGTGATTTGAGCAAACATTTTCATCGCCTCCTCACATTCTGCATTTGATGGTTCTATCTCCTGCAAGGAAACACTCATAGCAAATCACGAAAAACATTACTGAATTATGAATTGAAAGAGTAAACCACGAATTGTAAGATAATGACTGTGGATGAGCGGCGGTAAAATCCTAAAAAATTTTAATGAGATCATACGGATAGCAAATCGTTCTTGGTGGCAGCACTACCCTGCTTTAAATCCCACTAAGGATGTCAATGAGCGGATCGTTCAACTTCAAGCGCTTAACACATGTAACACATTTAGCGTTGCCCTCTTGGCTTGCGTAGTTCACATAATAATATGACTCCTCTATGACACTTTCCCGTTAATCATTGTCATTTTCATATGACGACGAAGTCAAAGGTTAAACTTTGGAAAACAATATGACCATATTTTACCTAAATCGAAAAATCAGCAGAGACGAAAATAACACTATAACTTTTGCATAGTAGAGGCAATCAACATGAACAAACTTACAGAACTGCAGTTTCTCGAAAGCTTCTTCGATTCATCTCTTTGTGCATTTCTTGACGAGCCAGCAGTATCCATTTACACAGTCAAGTGGTTAAAAATTACGACGTGATACTAAAGTTAACCTTTAAGTCAGAAAATAAACATCAGTATTGCGAGCTTTATCGTCAATCCTTCTCCCAATTTTTAGACTTTTAATAAACATTAAAATCCAGCCTTCTGAAATTGGTAAATGAATAAGGGGGAAGGAGTTCGGCGAAACGAGAGGAAAGAAGAGAAAAGCTGAAAAGAATGTATTAAAAAATTCTCATAGCTTCAACCTGGGAGTTCTTTTTATAACAGTTGAATCCTGAACCGAAATAACAATAACACATAGCAATATCGACTGAAAGGAAATAATAAAGTTAAAGTCTGCTTGCTTTGTGCCGATTTGGTTTTTAGCCTTTTAACCACCAACCTGATGCTCTTCCTAAGCACCAACCTGCTGCTTTACCAATTTGAACTCAGTAGAATAGGGCATAGATTAGAACTGAGAAAACTGATATGATCAGTTAGTGAGAAAATAGATAACACGGTTAGTGTTTGCAGTAAGGCGGACTAATAAAATAATCGCTGAATTACGCTGAGAAAGATTGATTAAAAATTACAGTATAGTAGATTTGATTTTTTTAAGGGTTAGCTTAAAACATCATTTCTGAAGGAATGAAGATATTCCTTCAAAATTCACTTTTTTTTTTATAAGTTCTTGAATTTTTTATTTGCAATACTTTTATTTGTTAAATTTCCTCATAGAGGAAATTCTCCATAGGCAGGATGCGAATAGGCAATATTCTTTCATTAATTTCTTGTATCATTGTTCACTTATTTCTTGAGAAATTTTTAGGTTTCTTTTTTAGTTTCGCTTTCCGAGATTTATTTTCCTTTCATAAATAAAAATTTCAGGTTCATCGAATTATGTCCTTATATGGAAAGAATGACTGTCTTATTCCTCCGAAATATGATTGTGATTATACACCAATGTATTGGTACGATCATTTTTTGAGGAATAGGTTTCATTAAATTAGAGCAGGCAACATCTTGGATCCATCCTCCTCATTCAGATTCTTACTTTGACTAGGTCAAAATCGAAATATGTTATCTTATTTCTGTATATTCGGGAATTAGTTCTGCTTATGCATTTGTAATTTAAATGCTTCACTTTCTCATAAATTATGTGTTGAAATTCACTAGGATTAGGATGAGTTGTATTAGATCATATAAACTTTCCATAATTTATAGTGAAGAAAATATCTGGAAATTATGTAAGAAGGTATCAACATCATTGGAAGAACTGAGCTGCTGCAGTGCTGTATTCATTTCCAACAAAAACCGAACGGTAATGAACGGCCCAGTTATTTGTATCATAGATTTTTACTTTTGTATTTTACCATAATTAGGGATACATTTTACTTTAAAATTTATGAGTTTTAATTTTTTTACTCCATTTTTTCATAAAAATGTTTCATGGTTATCTAAATAGCATGAATGTATCGTTTTAGGTTCCCCTATGGAAACAACGTGCTGCAGCAATAGGACGAGATTATGTGATTTGGGTCAGTATTAATTTTGGGGCATTTTCTTTATTATTTTTAAAGATTCTGTCTTTTTACACATAGCTCATAAGTAACGCTTGTGGGATTTGTTTGTTCACTGGAATGTTTGTTACAGGATTATCATGTAATTTTATTATATTCAAAGTCGAATTCAGTACTGGTCTATGATTTCGACACAGCGTTAACTTTTCCTTGTGATGCTCAAACATATTGGACTGAGACATTTCGTCCTGAACTGAATTTGGATGAAAATTATCACAGATACGTTTCATTTTTTATCAAAGCTGAGTCTTCATTTTATTGTGCACCAAATGAAAGATTGATAGTACTGTTATAATTATAATGTTTAATGCTAGGAGCTGTGTATGACAGCTGTAGAAAATTAACTTGAAAATAATGGAAACGAACAGAAACTTTATCCATCATTTGTATAAAATGGTCACGTCTTTTTCCAGGCTTTTGTTGTTTCAGGTGTTTTCGAGTTATTAGTGGCTTACATTACCTACAGCACTTCTCTTCTGATCGAAGTCATATGCTGGAAACTAATGGGAATCACAAGGCACCACCACCTTCTTGGGCTCCTATATATGATCCAGGTATGCTTAATAGCTGCTGTTTAACCACCATCGAGTTGTTTATGATAGTAAATTTTATTACTTGTTAATATGCTTTAGATATCGGCAATAATCTTCATAACTTTATATCCATGGACAGTCATTTGTTGAAAGATATCAGCGAAGTATATGATGAAAATTCTTTCAGTAAACTCATTAATGAACGATTAAGAAGTGAATGTTGAATTTATTTATGCGTGCTTGTTATATAGATATACATCTGTTTTTTACATTGATTTCACTATATTCACTTTGTTTCCGTAAATTGCTGATTAGTATTTTTGCTTTGAGTGTATTTCTACATAGTTCGATTTCTTTTACTGAATTTGTATCGATGAAAAAAGAATATCAGGATTGCAGCGATTTATAAAAACTAAAAGCTTTTTATCACATCTATGGCTGATAATTTTGTTCGGTATTCATTTTTTTGTTTTGGATTATTCAATGCCATTGTACAATTCTTTTCTTCAGAAGCGCGTCCCAGATTTCTTTTATGTGCATATCGTTCTCTTCTTTTCATATCTCTACTGCGCAACCGTTTTAGCCACTAAATTCATCGCTGGACTTTATAGAGTGCAAGTTGTTAGTCTTTCAATAAATTTTATATTGCTGAACTTGAAAAAAATTGAAACAACTTCGTATTTCGTGATGGTGGCATAAATTATCTTCGTATGGGATTTGTAAAGGAATTAGTTCATTCAATCAAATATGAGGAGTTATATCATTCTGGGCTATGCAAAAAATTGCTTATTTCTGATGTTATCGAGACTTCAAACCAATTCTGTTCAGGAATTAAATTGATAATGTTGCGATTGGTGAGGCTAAATCTCGAAATGGCGACCTCATTTTGTTATTTATTCAGTATAGGAAGGTCAGAAATTATTTAGAATTATTCTTTGAAGTAAGTTTTTCTTATCAACAACTTTTTTTCTAGTCTGTTGATTTTTCTCTCTGCTGACTGGTTTCAAATACTTCCAGATTTAAATTGAGACGTACTTTCACTACTTCATCGACGGCAAAAAATATTAAGCATTTCTGTGTCGATCTTGCAAAAAGAAATCTTATTTCCACTTCACACCCATCCAATTTATCTGGCGATGATTTTAAATTGGTGTCAACTCTTCCCAATGTAGTTTACGCAGGTAAAGCACGTTCTATAAGTAACTATTTTATTTATGGGGTACCCTCTATTTAGGAAAACATTGATTTGATAGTGAAGTTAAGTCATCCTTGTGTGTGGTTCTTTGTTTACAGCGTAGAGTTGCTTAATTATTTCAGGATTTGATCCTACAGCAGAGAGCCTTCACATTGGTCATTTGCTAGTACTAACGAACTTATTTCGAGCAACTTTACACGGGTGTCATGCGATTGCTCTGATCGGCGGAGCCACTGCTCGAGTTGGGGATCCAAGCGGTCATATTAAAGGTATTGTGATTATTATAGCCGTAGATTTCAGGCATGACTGCCTATCGAAAACCATTATTTGGCGATTTTTTGGTCTGTCTTTTCATTTTTTAGAAGCAATCCAGATTGTCTAGAAAAATTTCAGATCGGGTCATTATTCCGGGTCACGAAATCGACCAATACGTTAGCAAAATTAACTCACAAGTGGTGAAGTTATTTAATAATTTCACAGAAAATAACATTCAGCCGAGCAAACATTTATCGATTGTCAACAATTCTGATTGGCACTTCAAGGCAAGAAAGTTTTCCAAAGTGGGGAAAGATAGCCTGTGTTTTTTCACCAGTTGCAACGATGTGCACTTCATTTTGGAGTGTGAAATCTGGGATTTGAGGAAATATTTATGTCCCACTGTTTGGGATTGAATGAAACTTTTGCAGAGTCATTGATGTTATTCCTGTGCAATTCGATACAAATTTGGTTTCTTATAATTTACTTGAGTCTATACTCAATTTTACATTTAACATAATGATTTATTTTACATCGCATCATTTTTTGCAGATGAGTTCGACCCAGTTTCTGGAAGTTTGTCGAGATTTTCGGTTAGGTGATATGCTTAGACTGGGAATGGTCAAGTCTCGGATGCGTGACGGGTCAGGCCTTTCTTGCACTGAATTTTTATATCAGATATTTCAATCATATGATTGGTACCGCCTTTCACGTGACTATAACTGTCACTTTCAAGTAAGGAGAATATCTGCGAGGATTTATCACTGAACAATAGTTTCATTTTGCCCACAAATTTGAGAATTTATTTGGATAGAGGTGAATCTTGAAAATGGATGGGTTAGGTATAGGAAAACAGCCATAAGTTTGATGTTTTCTACAAAAAATAGCAAAAAAAGTGTCTGTTTTGCGTTGCATATAGTGTTTGATGTTCATAATTATAGATAGGTGGAAATGACCAACTGGGCCACTTTGACGCAGGCTATGATTACATAAAGAAGAAAACTGGGAAGCTATCTGCCAGCATTTGCTTACCTTTACTTACTGACGCCCAAGGAAAAAAGCTTAGCAAAACTTCAAAAGAAGATAGTAACATATGGCTAGATGAACGAAAAACATCGCCTTTTACTTTCTACCAATATTTTCGTCAAAAACCAGACTCAGTCATAGTTCCCTTGCTAAGGTAAGTTTATTTGTCTCAAATTCCTTCACTAACGGTAATGTGATCGTTCAAAATACCAAAGCCTTTTTGTTTTCCCCTCCTTTATGTTTTAATATATAATTTAGATGTCAGAGCATTAAAACTTCTTGTACCTGTATATAACGAGTCGAACAGTCTACATATGAAGCCGGTAAAGGAGTGGAACGCATATGGAATAAAAATTAAAGCATTCACTTTAAATAAACCTTCAAGTTCTTCAGAAATCAATGAATTCGTCTGCTTTCCAGCGAAATTCGTTAACTTTTACCGCTTTATAGGTACTTTTCCCTACGAACAATCGAAGAAATAGAAGAAATTGAACGGGAACACCAAACAAATTTAGGGAAATGGATCGCTCAGGAGAAATTGGCAGAAGAATTAACGAAGTTTGTACATGGAAGTAATGGGTTTAAAATGGCAAAGCAATGCTCGGAAATACTTTTTCATGGTAGTTATCGACAATACTTTTTCATGGTATAAACAGTAGCGTAAATATCACTTTAATTGCGGATAACGAATAATTTCAGGCTCTCTTTCTGAATGGCGAAAAATGCCGACATCGTTTATAGAAGAACAGTTTGGCAGCGCATCTGTGCAGCAGCTTTTTCGATCCAGTTTTTCAACGATGGGAGAATTAGCCGATAGAGTACATAATGGTGAGGGATCTAGCATAAATAAGATGAAAGCAGGAGCTTTGAAGTTGAACGGAATACGGTTTACGAATCCTGATGAAGTGATCGATTTTGATAAGATTTGTTTGGATGGCAAAAATATTACACTTGTTTGTTGGGGTAAACGAAAGTACCATTTAGTTAGGTGGATTGATTGATTAAGGACTGTAAATTATTTTTGTATTGTTTACTTTAGTGATTGCTGTAATTGTTGAACTTTGAAAATGGCAGAAACGCGCACATCACATTATTTTATGTTGGCATGTAACCAATATATAAATTTGTAAACTGGCATGTAAACTTGCAGCTGACTTGAAACTAAAATTTATTTTTAAAACAAGCACCTTACCTATGGTATGTGATCTTGATTAAACTTTTTATGGATCACGTGCCAATTTTACTGTGGATATCATAACCGTTCGTAATGCATGTTAAAGAATATAGCAATGGAATACGCTCAAAAGAGAAAAATTATTTTTTGAAGGGCATTTCCATGAAACTGGTACACGTCGATGATTATCGCTGTTGTCATGCTGATTTTGATCCCTTCATATAAAAATTCATATAAAAATATAAATTCATATATTCATATAGAAATTTTTTGACTGATTCCCGGTTCCTATTGATGCGTTTTTACACTCGTGAAGCGGATATGAAGATGGGAAGAAGATACTGCACTTTTTTCGTAGCTAAGAATTCCCGAAATTTTCACTGGATAGGAGAAAGCAATTTCAACCTGAGCAATTAACTTATTTTGCCGCCATAAGAAGTCAACAGATAGAAATACTTAACTTCAAATTTGGAACTGGACTCGGAATTCACCCTTGACTTAAAAAATTCAACACCAGGCTTAATCCCCTCCGTCGGCCCGTATCACACAGGCTCGAAATCCCATTTAATACTACAAGCTTCATAACGTAACAGGACAAGGTTGGACAATACGAGTTATGTTCTGTCCGAACTTTGACAATACGAATTATGAAATTCCGTAATTCAAATGACGAGTAGCGGGAAATCAGAGCGCTACGTTTGTGTGATGTTAGGACTTCTGGGTGAATAACTTACCTTTTTTGGAAGCTGCGGAGTAATGTATGTCACTGCACTGCTAATATTGTTAAGTATTAACTGCTATCAGTAAACAGTTGTTTAAAATACGGGTCTCTGATCTCACATTTCATTATATTACTTCACTAAGCAGTTTAAAATACGGACCTCTCATATCACATTTCATTACATTGCTATGTATGTATATGTGAGGTTGTGTCCACGACTCATGTATTTGTAAGATAGATTGGAATCCGTTAAGAATTGAATTGTTAATTCTCATAGAAATGGTGGAGAATATAGCAAAACGTAAGGTAACAGCGATGCTGCATTATATGCCAGAGATTATTTGGCATGATCGAGAGTCCTTACTTTCTGTGGATTTTCAAGCACAACACGATGAAATCGATTTCTATAAGGTCGTTGTTAATTCGTTTTATTTGGTCTTATTTATTCTGCAATTAGTGTAGCTAGCTTCTGATTTTTCTTCTGTAGATGATAATATAATGTATTTAAATTTAGCTATGCACTGCATGTGCCAAGGGTCAAAATTTTCCTTTATATATTTGATAGGGTTTAAATGGTATGATCTTATAAATTAAGACAACAAATGTTTTTTCATCTCTCTGATAACTTATTACTCGTTAACTTTTGTCATTACTCAACTCAAAAAAGTCATTTTTATCTAATATTATCCGTTTATAATTGATGCAATTGTAGTTGGTAACATGTAGCTTACAAAAAGAGGTGCGAATTTGGAAGATGGATTTTCGGATGTTACCATTTGGAATTGAAGATCTTGGAGTATATTTCATTGCAAATTTAGTTGGTCATCGTACAACCGTTAATGTCGCACGTTTTTCACCAAATGGTATTTTTTGATCAGGAATAAAGTGATATTGAAACTTTAGATTTATGCTTATCTATCAACTTTTACAAAATTGAAGGACAATTTCTTGTGAGTGGAGATTGCGATGGTTGTATAATCATTTGGAAATTCGACATGAACAGTTCAAATGTAACATTGCCACGAGATGATGACTTTCCTCCAAATGTTGAAAATTGGATCAGATACAAAACTCCATTAAGGTAAGATAACATGGATAAAATATTGAATACTGTTGGCAGCTCGAAGTCCGCAATATATCTCGATTCTCCAGATGATGAAGCACTATCTCTTTTACTTTCATAGACTTCCATAGGAAAGACGGCCCCTAAGTAAAGTTTACTTGTATCTTACTTTCCTGCTCGGTAATGACATCTTATAAGATTTCGAATTGTTCATGCTTTTCGCACTGCCACAATGAATTTGGTTCAGTCACGATGGCGATATCTGTTCTTTGTGTTGGAGTCCGGATAGCAAGCGTTTTGCTATTGTATCCAATGACGAATCTTTCGCAATATATGACGCAGATACAGGTAATATTCATTCAAATGCTAGCTTTTTTTAAAAAACTTATTTTTGATTTCGAAGAAAAAGCCAATTTCAAGAAACTGATTCGACGAAGTTTTCAACGAATGAGCATGAACAACGAAGTTTATATTAAGAAAGTCGTAGCAATAAACCTGTAAAACAGGTAGACGCTTATGGCAGATGAGGTCATACCGACGTTTCCCGAATGGTGTTGCATGGGATCCACGTGGAAAGTATATCGTTACAATGTCCACTGATAGAAAATTGGATATTTTGTGTGGGAAGAAAGGAACTCGTTTAGTATGCATTCAAAATGTTCGCTTACCGGAAACAACTTTGCGCAAGTCAAATTTGGCAGCTGGTGTAAGTTATAATTTGGCGAATTATTTTGGGAAATAATTCAAACACTTTATATCTGACCAATAATTGACTATTAATTGAATGATGTCGAAATTTCGTCCTTTAAAAGAAAACTCTTTTTAGAAATATAAGTTATTTCACGATGATCAGTTGATGTCCTTTTCTAGAATTCCAGATTTCTCACCTGATGGTGAATTATTGATTGCACCAAGTATGTTTAAAAGATTTTGCTTCGCTCTGTATGTTAAATCAGGGATTATCCATTCCATACGATATATATCGTAAATTGAAGAATAAATAGAAAAAATAAAATTTTTAACTTCTGTTTAAATTTTTAATTTCTCGTTTTGCGTTCTGAAATTGTATCTATGAAATTCCGAGCTAAATCATAAGATTTTTGCTGCGATGTTATCCTGACTATGTTGTTTAGGTGGTATTTTGGAAACCGATTCTTCGAATATTTTCGGGACCTATATTTTTCGTCGTTGCGATTTTCCAAAGTGAGTTTTATGAGTGAAAAATCTTTTTTTAATAATTACTGAAGCATCCATGAAGTGTCTACATAGTCTTAACGACCATTTAAAATATGTCTTTTGTTACTTTCGGGATATTTGATATTTCACATTACTGCATTTCGAACTCCTTGGTGCTGAAAAGTTTCACTGCCTACGGGAAAAAAATAGGGGCTTTAAAAATCGAATTAAACACGAAAATTTTCGATATTATTCTCACTTAGAACTTTGTGTCTTCATTTTTAGAGGTCGTCCAGCTGCATTTATTCCTTCTACAAGAGCTACTTTTCGTGTATCTTGTTGCCCTGTTTTGTACAAACTTCATAAGAAAATTACCCGTAACCCTCTAAAGTAAGTTCTCATTTGTTGAAGTTACAGCTCACTAGGAGGAAAAAAGTGTTTTATATGTTTATTCCAGTTCATAGTTAATTTATCTGAAAAATAAGTGAAATTTTCTTAGAAGGAGCATATCATTATTCCAGTCACTATCAAGAAGTGTGTTTAGGCTTCCATATCGCATTGTTTGGGCTGCGTTGACTAAGAATACTGTGTTTATTTTCGATAGCCAGGTCTGCAGATGTATTGCTTGTGCTACCAATCTTCAGTATGATACTCTCACAGATATGACATGGAGTCCCGATGGACGGGTTTTGATGATTTGTTCTTTGGAGGGTTATATTAGTTTCATCAGGTACACTTTTCAGCTGTTTGACACACCAAAATAAATTGGTCTCTCTCCTCCGTCAACTTAATTGTAGTACGTTCATCCATTAGTATTTTCCATCTAGTATTAAATTATTTCAGTTTAGAATAAAACTGTCTAATTTAATAAAATATCTGAATTTTTTATTTGCTTGTTATCGTTTCTACACCTTGCTTTCATGCATGTTTATGCGAATGACGAATGTTTATACGAAATTATTCAGATTTGGTGAAATAGCATTAGGTGAAAAGTACACTGAAAAAATACCTCGACTTCCGCCATCGCCGATATTTGATCGAGGCACAAAAGGACGTAAGTGCGGTAAGTAGTTCCATAAGTGTTCAGTTTTCCAGCCAGGTAATTCGAACCGTTTAATAAAAAGCTGTAGGCATTATGTCGTCATATTATGATGGCTTTTACAAGGATTGGATGAAGTTTTTGTACTTTATGGTGAACATTTAAAAAGTTTCAGGAAATTCTTTGATTCAATTGGATGAAAAAGGAAAAAAAGAAAGCTCACCACCTAATTCACTTTTGAAATTTTTTAAAAGAATTGCCGCGTCTCAAACAGGAAAGGAGGAAGATCAAGCGAAGGCGTAAGTTTGTAGGATTTTTCGGACTATTGGTTATGGCTACCCTCAATTAGAATAATCAGGAAGACGATATTATCAACTGATAAATTAACTCATACAAGCATTGGAGTACTTTAGTTTGGCTTACAGTTGATATATTGTCTTTGATCATGCCAATTGCAGAAGCAAAGCATGTAGTGGTGTATCGAAGCTAGAGAACAGAAAAGAAAATGATAGTGCGAGCTGCAGCAGTAAGCCTAGAACAATTGTGAAACGTTCTGGTACATTTGAAAACAGTAAAAAAGAATCTGATGTTATAATTGGGAACAAGAAACGGGCAAAGTTAACCACGTCACCGTTGTAGTAATTTAATGAAAATTTGATATAAATTCAACAGAATATACCATGTTGATCTTCGTTTGACAAAGCTTAAGATAATTGAATGTTTTTCAAGATGTGAAGTCGTATGTTTGTTTATATGTATATGGCTTAGATTCATTAATTATATTTTTGCCTCTTTTATTCAATATCCACTTTCTTTTGTTGTGTTTTTCACGTTGTTATGTTTTACAAGTTTACTTTCGATGATTTTCTCGTATTTTTTTTTTGTGATCTTCGTCTCATTTTCATGTTGACTCTCGGAGTTTGTCTCGAATGATTTTTTAAAATTTCTCTTTCGGCAGTTCCCAGTGATATATCTTTTTTTGACAGTCCAATGAATCCTTCCATCTATTCTCAGTTTGACAGTCAATGAATTCTTTGGTCTACTTTTCTGAAACGACTTCATTTATAATTTAAATAAACCAGACTCGCTAATTTTTTTTTAACTTTTGGAATCACCATTTATTTCTTTCCTAGCAACGACTATTTCTAGTAATAAATGATGAAAGAATGTCGCCATCATTTGGCACTTGGAAACCAGATCCATCAAATGGATTGGAACTTTGCAGTTTACTGAAAACATTCAAATCGCTAAGTTACTTTCTGTTCCATCCTTACATAGTATGGACTGACCAGATAGAGGCAACTAACTTTCTGAGCGTGTAATTAAATCGGTGAGATTCATTTATTTCCGAATAAATCCCAAAATGCTAAAATACTCTGAAAATTATGTTGTAATATTCTGAAACTTTTGATATATAGCCACAAACTTTCCTCAGAAAAGTGCAATGATGATGGAGGCGCAAGAAAATGCATAACTTCCTTGCTGATAATTTTTTAGAAATTAAATGTAACATCTAGTCGCACATGTGGCATCATCGACTTGTTTAAACGACGCGTTTATCAGTATAAACAAATTAGGTGAGTGGTAATTTGCATTCGATGTACAGATTCCAAACCAAACGCGGCATATTTGTTTTGACAATACATAACAATAGATGTGATCGAATTATTGATATCTCAGATTTTTGATCTTTTTTCTGCTTTTCTGCTTGCTGATATCACCTTCGTTACAATCTTGAAGAGTACTCTGAAATTATCTACAATTCACTACAGTGTATACCTTACACTGCTAATGTCTTAGACTATTTCAAACCCTGTGTTGATAGTTGATAGGAATTTGTGTGTCTTCAATTGTTGATTTTTCAACAAAAAAGAAAAAACCATTTTTAAAGACAAAAACAGATGGATAGACATTAAAAAAAGGCATTTTCAGCTTGAGAATTATGAGAAAAAAGGGTGGAAATATCAACCAAAAGAAATATTACCATTTTTTTGCTGATACTGCTCGCTTATGATATGATTCAGAGAGGGAAATACTTGCCGAACCATTTGTGTCATGCCATATGCAATGACAATCATTCTTAATTCATTATCTGCTTGTGGCACCCACTGCAGTCTAAATATCTTCTTCCCATTATTTTTTCTCAAAAATTTTGTCAGGAAAAAAGTTAAAATTGCATTATTGTCTCTGAGTAATTGTAGTACGCTAAACAAACAGGAAAAATCTTCTTCGCGATATCCATCACATCGTTTCTTTAATTCATTTAAGCATCTTTTCATTATCATACTAATATGATAGAGAGTAATCGAGTATTATGTTTAAATCCATTTTGATAATAAAAATTCCCGGGGTCAAATTTCAAATATATTGTCTTGCTTTCACTATTTTTAGTATTATAATTAATAGGCATTTTTATTCAAAACATCAATACTTCTTAACAAAAAGGAAATTCAATTTACCGTAATGAATTTTCATCGAAAAATATACCATTAGGCCGAATAAATGCATAAATTTTGCCTTCTTTTATGAATTGCCATTTTGCGCGTGTAATGAAACAACGACCGCATAATGAGAAGAAATTAAAATTTGAATTTGATACGAGTTTAATTTGACAGCGATTACACTGATCAATATATGAGGTGATTTGAACAACATTTGAGCATGGTAATTCCAAAAATTCGAATATTCGCATGCCTTAAATTCATTCTAGTAATGTTTTGATCCAATTTTTATTATTTTAGAATTCAGTCTTACCGTGTGTATATGATAAGAAGAATCGTTAAAAGCTTTGCAAGAAGAAAATGATAATCAATTAATGGAGGCTTTGAGTTTGTTTAGAAATCATTAAACAAATGGATTCCAAATTTCGCCTTCGAAAACTACCGCATCTGTGTAAACTTGCCATCAAGTTATTCAAATGACCTGATAATGGATGTCTGATTTTAGCTAACACAGTTCCACATTCTTCAGGATCAGAATCGTCAAATGTGATCGAAAAAATCCTCTTGGTGCCTTTAGAAAGAATCATTTCCTCAGGGTGTAAGCTAACGCTGAGTACGTGAACATTATTTGCATCTGTTATTATAAAATCAATCGGATTGAAGTTTACACTGTTTTTGATAATATACTTCTCGAGAGCTGCTTGAAGCTGTAATAAATTGTCAAAGAAAAAAACAATAAATTATTGGAATTTTAATAGTTTCAGAATAAAACTCTAAAACTTATTTTAATACTTTCGATCTCAGAATCGCGTGTTTGCAACGAATTCTCTGTTACTAAATGCAAAAAAAAGAATAGTCTACCTGTTCAACGTTTGCTAGTCGTATATTAAGCATTTCATAATTCTGAAGCAATGGTAATGGATCAAGTTTTATCAGTTGTGGTGCCACTGTAGAGGAAAGACGCCTGACTGTTCGTGTAAGTTGTGCTGATAATGAATGTCTTCTCGAATTCGCCGCGCTACTACAACGGCTTTTAGGATGTCGATTTTTATCCGATTCCATATCTACCGTATAGAAATTGCTAAGTTGCGATAGTATGTAATATAAATTCGAAGTGGAAGACGATGTTTCAATAGTTTGAAAAGAATTTGTATTAATAGTTCGGATGATAAGCAAAAATTCAGATGATAAGTGAAAAAGTGATTATAGCGATGCTGGCATCAGTGAATGGATAATGGATATTTTGGAAAGAGTGAAAATGATATAATGAACAGATTTTAAAAGAAGATGCAGTCCTGATTCGTACTTTATCCTGAAAACTGATGACAAAACTCATTTAATTGTGCTGGGCTCCTTGGAGGTTTCAATTTTACGCAAAATTTCTGAATCAATTTCGACCAGAATTTGAGCAAATGTATTTTTTTTTACAGGATGTGAGAAATTGATGATGATGTTTCTAATTACAGTGTTATTAATCAAATTTCGTCATTTAAGTCAAATGATATATTATTTGTATTAAATAATTAACCATATTAGTCTAAACTTAAAACTGAAATTATTTTAAAAGAAAAATTCATTAAAAGAGTTTGCGAATCCCAACAAAATTAAACAAAATTAAATTAAATATAATGCGGGAATTCAGGAATAGTTAAGACTTTTGTGAAAATTTTCAGCTTCTGAAAGTATGTGGAGAGAATTAAAAATTATGCTGGTCGTTCTTGGAAGTTTGAACAATTTCAAATTGATTAAAATTTTAATATTTTTTAAGATAACGAAATTATATTCTTAATATGTCAAAAAAATTTTATTTTAATTACATTAAGAAAATAGGAAATATAGCGTATATGAAATATTATTATAAGAACTTCTAAGTCTTCCCAGGAATGGTGTTTATTGTTCATATACGATTCAGATTATTCAAAATCATGTAACATTCAAAATTTGACGAGAATACTGCTTATCAATTCTGATTTGTTGATATTGAGATTATCGAAGTAAATAAATAGCTTAATTAATGAATACGCTTGAATAATGATTGATTGCAAAAGTAGAGAGAGCTTAGTGTTGAAAATTTTTGAAGATGCATGCTGACGTACACATTCATAACTGATTTTACAATCGAAGAAATATTTGTTGTAAACAAATGCGCAATGTGAGGAGAGAAGTGCAAGAGCTTTAATAAAATTCCTACATCTACAGCATTATCATTAAAATTGCTATCATAAAGATTTCACTAATAGTTTAAACAAATCAATAATATAGAAGCTTAATAGATATTTACATCGTTCATATATATATGTATATGTATGTGTATGTTGTATATGTACTTCAAAGTTGAGAAATGAAAAAAAATGATACACTGGTAATAAAAGAAATTTCGTTGAATTGTTTAATTTCTGGAATACGTATCCAAATTATATTACTAAGTATAGTTAAGTAAAGCATAGTAAATGGAAGAATGGGTTATTCGTCAGGAAACATTCTGAATCCAAAATTAGTGTGTAGTATCTTTATTGGAAAGTGAAATTTCAATAAAAATAATCCTACTAATGTAAATTTATCCAACATTATTTTTTTGTATTCCTTTTTTTGAACTTATTTCTAAAAATGTATTTTTTTTTAGATTAACAATTAAATTTGAAAAAATGGCTAAAAAATATTTTATATAAAAGAATATTTTTTTCAAATTTACGATCACAAATTTGAAATACTAAAATCTTTGATGACCTTTAATTTCAATATTAAATGAAGGATATTTTTTTGTTTATATGTTTTATATCAGAAATTATACTGAAAAGAATGTTACAATTTATAAACTGATATCATAAGTCGAATTGCACTACCATGTGATGTAATACAGATACAGTTCAACAAACCAGTAAATAACGAATTATCAGATTTATCCTATCAGATAAATCATTCCTTTGGAATGAAAGGAAAAACGATATTTGTTAATTCTATTCGAATAAAAACAATTTTCCAAAATACGCTGATTTCAAATAATTCAATAATCTTAAATGTCTGGATGGTATAAATTTATTGTTTTGTCCTTGAAATCAAATCATTCATTTATTTTCCCATTTTTAATTCAATTCATTTGAAGTGATCATTTGTCAAAAGTTCAACAAAAATAAATACCATCATATTAATGTACATGATGTTATGATTTGTTATAACAATCTCTCGGCTAATTTCCTTATTTTGTTTACAAGCAATTCTGATCACAAAACAAGTAAACAAAATAAGTTCTTAAGAAAAATAAAAAATTTGCAATAAAATTGCAAGAATTCCATTTCGATGAAATATTATAAACTATTTTGATTAAATTAAAATGGAATTTTCAACAATGAAGAGAATAGGTAATATCGCGGATATTCTGTTTGTTGAGGTTGAGAAAAGTATTCAACAAAACAACAAATAAAAATGATTGAATAATTGAACATCAAATTTGTCACATTAGCCCAATGTATCAAATTTACCAATAATACCTATCATTTCCTCGCATGTAGCCTTCTGATTCATTCAAACGGAAGTTTTTCTTTTTTAAACGAAAAATAAAACTTCCAGATTTCAATTATCAAACTTTGCAGTGTATTAACGCTGCTTCATTATCGATTATTTTGTTTGTAATTCGGAATTTACTTACTTTATAATAAGCGAAAAATTGTATAAAGGTTGTATTTAGAATGCAATTAATAAATCAAACATTTTCACTCTATCGCTAATCACTAATCGTAATTTAATTAATCAAGAAAGGTTGGTTGTATATCAAAAAATGATTTCCCTGTTTCTTTTTTTGAAAATTTTCTCAAATTTTCATATTTCTATCTTTTTCAAAGGATTTTTCAATAAACAATATGTATATATTATATTTTACCAATTAATTTAATTGAACTATTTGAAAAATCAATTTCATCGATAATTCAGTAAACTGAGGGGTGCACCTAAATCAAAGACAGAAAATCGAAACCTAATAGAATGGAAATAATTAGTAATTGAATTAATTATTGGAAATACTAACAAGCCTTAAACAAGTGATTATACTCGCAATTTGAATTGAAAATTAAATTAATTTTATAAAAAATATGTTGTTTTTTTGAACGAAAATATATTGTTATAAACATTAAACATTATTATTCTATGATATCAATATTTAATCTGATTTTAAATGATTAAATTATCAATAGAACACTTCTCTAAGGTAGAATATAGGAAATACCAATAACAGAATTGAAATTAATTACAAATAATTGCAATTCCCAGTAAATAACCGCCCCAACATATCTTAACTTGACAGATAATTTTTTATATCAACATAAGGTGATTAATCTAGATGATCAGTCCCAAACTTTCAATATCGGATAATTTCAAGCAGAAATTTATTAAGCTGTGAAAGATTATTTTGGAGATATATCAGATAGTGCAAAAAAAATGCACTTTTAATATTTAAATTAAGTTGCAACAAAATATTAAACGCATAAATTCACATATTATTATTGAATGATAATTCAGAAAAAAATTTCAATTAATTCGTGATTAATTAATTTCTGATAAGATGAAATTCATTTAGATAGTACAACAATATAACCATCGCTGATCTGTGAATGAATATACCTATCAACTTACCTGTACATCAGGGTTTCAGAACAAGATTATCATTCATAATTCTTCAACATCTCATTGCAGAAATCACAAAAATTTTGATAAATATGTAACATTTTTGATGGTATATATGCTGCAAAAATATTGAAATATGTTTTTAGGCATAAATCAGATAGTTTAAGAGAAATAGGTTATCGGCTCATTTTGTATGATTGAAATGAACGATGAATGACCTTGACGCGTACCGGTCTGTTTATACAAGCCTTCCTTTTCCTTCTGCCTGCTTTTTCGCTTCATCCCTTCTAAACGAACTATCCAACTATCTGTACTTAGTACAAAGCTTAAATTTTGATTGCATATTAGCACCTTCCCAATCCTCTCTCCCTCCATTCAACTGCTCATCGCTTCAATTTTTCGCATCCTGATTATTGTTTGATTCCGGAAATATACACACCTGCACGGATGGATATACAATAAAACATAAATGAACTTCTCGGCTTTTTTTCCTTCCCATACAAATATTCGAAATCTATCAGTTTGATCCATAAAAAATTTCCATCTTATTTAGATAGCAAAAAAAAATATAAGCATTATCGCTAATCGTCTATAACAGATAATCTTCTTTATTTATTTTTGTAACAAAAATCAACTTACAAAACTTTTTAATTTCATTATAGCATTTAATGCAATTGCTCAGATTCATTCTTTTCTATTCCTAAACTGTCTCTAATTTTCTTTTTTCAATTATACTAAACTTGCAGGTAATATATCCGTTTTATCATCAATAAACTGTGGTATATATAATATGCTTTTTGAGTTTGTAATTTTTCAAAAATTTCAACCTTATTTTGAAAGTATTTAAATAAATTAGTAAATCAATAAGCAATCATTCATTAATTTTACATTTGATGATCGAAACTAAAACTGAAACTTTATCTCTCCCGCCAAATTGATAATTTTGTCAAATGAGCTTGAATTTTTTTTAATTTTCAATTCTCACTGATTGTTATCTTCCATTTTCTTCTCTTTTTATTCATTCTTCTTTTTCCAACTAATTAACTTTTATATAAATCAATTAGACTGACAGATAGCAATCATTAAATTATGATAGTAAAATTTCATTAAATTTTATTCGCATAAATTACATATTTCTTTTTCACATATTTTATGAAAGAAAATTTATATATTCCTACTTTAACACTTATCTAAATGTTAATAAAAATGATAAATTGATTTAATAGTCAGAATTATTAAAATTATTTCATATAACGAATTATCGGTGATATTGTTGGAAGCAAGCAAACAACAAACCATACCTATCTACTCCACCTCGATATGTGAAAGATATTTATTATAACAATTAGTATCAAACTAATTTCATTTAAGTCATTCCATTACAATTTATTAGGTAATGAAAATTTCTCAAATCATTTTTGAAGAAAGAATAAATTGTAAGGAAA